TTGAGGTAAGTTGATCAGGATAGCGCTGGACGAAGCGACTAGCCCAGTGTACTCCAACCTCAGTCTTGGCGATCTGTGAGGCAAAATTGCGTATCATTGGCTGAGTAGGTGGTAAGCCTCTATCTGTTAGTCGATTGATATAGGCGATTAGGGCCTGCTCCTGCTGTGGGTGGAGGAGCTGCCGTTTTTGGCCACCTATCGCGCGTGAGGCGTGTAGGCCTTGGTGTCTTCGGGTAAGCGTAGATCGAACAACACTATATTTTTTTGCAATATCTGTATACGAAAAAGGCTCATCAGGTCCTAGGGCATTAATAGCTGCAAGCGCAGCCTCAATATTAGCCATGGTGGTGGGGATACGACGCGTTGAGGTTGAGGTGGTTGTAAGGCGCGCGCGCACTTTGTGGTGGGGCTAGTTAAATCACAACGCGTCCCCCGCATCGCCTCTCAGTCCCAGGCATACTTACAGACACACTCTTATTCTGAGCAGACAAAAATGTCGTCTCGAACCAGACATTCGACAGCTCGGCCGACTCCCAGTCGTCAGTCGGTCGCATCCACCCCAAGCCGCAATGCCAGCGCAGACACGCTCCCGCCATACAAGAAGCCGTCGCACCCCCTCGATGCTGAGGCGACCCGAGCCTTGCGTGAACTGCAAGGACGCAGTCTCAATGAGGTCAAAACACAAAGCAAGCAAGCTGCCGCCGCGATTGCTGCCTCTGCTGAGAATATCAATGACATGCTGCGTGATCATGCCGAATACATGGCACGACGGAAGAAGAAGTGGGACGCGGGCAAGAACCTGGAGGACAAGGACAAGGAGGAGCGCGAGATGGAGGAATTGCGGCTGAGGGTTGACGAGGCCACTGCAAAGTTGGAAGAAAGCATGCGTGCTGTTATCGACTCAGGTGTTGCGGCGCAGAGGATCGACGACATGCTTGAATGGCTGAGAATCAACGCACCCACGACGCTCGAAGACGAATACCGCACCCAGATGACGCAGCGGCAGTCCCAAACGCAGGCAGACAGCCAGCGGCGGCGGCGCACCCAACATGAGGATAGCGACGGAGACATTGACATGGACGAGGGTCCTACGCCCGGCCCAACGCCTCTGGATGGGTCGCGCATAGCCCTTACCGGCACGAGTGAGTTGTTTGCCTCGCGCATCCAACGGGATAAAGATGCCTACACGTCGCTCTCTCTTACTGCGCGCTACGCCCGCAACAATGACTACCGCGACTTCAAGCGATTAGTGCACGATGCCAAATACGGTGACCATGGCCCTGTCTTGGGCCATGAAGACACTTGGTTCACCGAGGCTGGATCGCCGGCGCCAGGCATAACCAACAGAACAGAGGGCGGCGAGTTTGACGACGACGATGATATTGTCGTGGACCGAGCGACCATCAGCACGCGATGTCCGATTACATACCAGCAGTTCAAAGAGCCCTACTCGAGCAACAAGTGCCCCCATACGTTTGAGAAGAACGCGATTCTTGAGATGATTCGGCACGGCCCCCACCGAGTCGGTCAACACCGAGCTGTAGATTGTCCGGTTAGCGGGTGTATGCAGGTAAGGCCAGCAGCTCCTTTTGCTTTATTTGCTTATGATACACGACACCGATATCTGCGGACACTGACATGGTCGACTAGATGCTCACCGAAAAGGATGTGTACACTAACAAGGTGCTCATTCGCAAGATCAGGCGCATGCAAGAAGCCGAACTTGCGGAAGCCGAAGAAAGTTCGGACGACGAGAAGCAAGCACCTCGTTCGGATACTCAGCCGCAGCCAGCCTCAGCACATAAGGTTGAGGACTTGGAGGATACAGGCGTTAGCGATGGAGAAATGTCAGCCTGAAGCTGACTGAGTCATGTTCCGGCACGGAAGAAAGCATTGATACCCGCAGATGTGCAATGGATAGTCGGTCAATATATGAGGCGTACAGAGCTGTAGCAGGCTGCGTAAGTGCAGCGCCACATTCGCTTGCAGGTGATTGACAGAACTTTGATCGCACAGGAGGCATGCCCAAGCAAGTCATGTACTAATTGCCCGCAAAGGTGGTATGCAAGGGAGGCGCTGGAGTTGGCCCCTCCACCTTCCGACGCTTCCCCGGATAAGCAATCCGGATTTTCCTTTTTTCCTCGGACTTGGGCTCGGAAAAGGCACGTGCAAGCATGGGCAAGAGAGGCGCCCCAGTTTTCGCCCGGTCTAAACACGACTCCCGTGCTTATCGTCAGAAGCAAAGGTCTACGGCCGCGGATACCTTCGGGCCTGCAGAGCGCGCATGTATGTACAGAAGATACAGCCGCGCAGGGCAGAAGAGTGGTTTTCAACGTCACTGCGAGGGTGCATAAGACGCTGCGTTTGGCCGAGATGACGTTGACGGCTTTGGGCGGAGTCGGGCGAGCGAAAATGGCGGTATACACACGAGGATTACCCAAGGAGCCAAAAAGCATTCTACATAGGTGCCATGCGCGGCTCGCAAGAACGACGCACGGTTGCGGTTCACAGGTGTCGAAGACAAGCAGGTTCCGTCGGGAATGCGAATTGAGGTCACACTGCCTGCGACCTAGCACCGAACCACTGTACAATGATGTACCGCTACTGCTACTGCTACTACGACATACTGCGACATGGCGAGTTGGCTGGCATGTGACAAGATGCGCCGTTGCCGCCATGCTTGGACTGGCTAGAGACGGCGCCTACGCGAGACGTCATTGCTCGTGACCGCAATGACGGCGGTTCCGCACGCGGTGCAATGGAGTCGGACGGAGGGAGTGCGTGCCTGAAGATCGCGCTGGAGCCCCGAGCCGGATGGACGCAAAGGAGCCGAAAAGGAACCCTTGAGAGGCAGTCGGACATGGGATGGAATTGCACCGCACCAGCGACATGAGCGCCTTTCGCTCGTGCTGCTCCGCCGTGCCCACGACGGTTGTGCAGTAGCAACGGCATCAGCGCTCAACAGATCAGGCGCGCTTGATTGGACCGGTCCCGATGGCAACGCGTATAACATAGCAGCCACTGCGTCTCAGTGGCTCAATGGAGGCAGCATTGGGATTGGGATGCGGGGAAATGGCAGCCAACCCCTCAATCCATGGCCCCCGATCGACTGACTGGGCGGGCTTGCGGACAACAGACGCTCATGGTGCTTTTAAACAAACTTCCTCACGGACGGCCCCAGCCTCGTCTACCACTACTACCACTGCTCCTTTCTCCGCCTGCTCAACTCCAGCACTGCACCGTTGCAGGCTCCCAGGGCGTCCATCGAGGGCACGTCCGCAATAGCACCGCACCCACTCAGCCCGCCAGACCCACCCCCCACTCGTCCGCTCCCCTACTTTCGCGCATCGGCTCTCTCCGCACAGACGACACAACGTGCCAGGTACGCCCCAACAACCCTCTTTTCCTCTTCACCGTCACTTCAAGGCCCCTAAGTCTGATGGCGCCCGCGGATACGATCGGAAAGAGGAGGGCCATGGCACATGGCGGCCTTTTCGCCCACACGCCGCCCACGTTTTGGTGTGCGCCTGATGCAAAGCCTACATCGATGTCGTAGCCCGCTAGCCTTGGCCATGTCCACGGCCGCGGCGCACACTGTCTGGAACTTGTGTCCTTGGCTGAGCCTCTTGCCGTGGCCTCGAGCCGCATACGCGCATCATGTCGCGGTTTCGTTGCTGAAACGGATATAGAGTCAAGACAGCCGTCTCTTTTGTCCGCTTTCTGACCTCGTCTTCACTTCCCTCTTGCTTTCCCATTTTGGTCATTCCAGCATAGCGCAGCATTATACCCCGACCTTGCAGTCACTCTTCCATTGTCTCTTCATTCACACACACGCCCTTGAAATCACCAAACTGAGCGCTGTCACTGACGACTGCCATGTCAACCACCACAGCCACCACCCACAGCTTTAAGATGCCCGCAGCACGCGCTCTCGAAAACGCAAAGCAGTCTTCGGAAACTGTATTCAGCGACGCATCCTCCGCCATGTCCAAAGCCGCCGAGAACCCAAAGAAGGCCACTGCAGACTTTTTCCACACACCTTTTATGCGGGCAGCGCTGCCCTTTATAAATGGCGGTCTTGCTGGCATGACGGCTACAACAGTCATCCAGCCCGTCGACATGGTCAAAGTGCGTCTACAACTCGCCGGAGAGGGCGTCAAGACCGGCCCTAAGCCCACACCAATCACAGTTTTCCGCGACATTGTTTCGCAGGGCAAAGTGCTAGATCTCTACACTGGACTCAGCGCCGGTCTCCTGCGTCAAGCCGTCTACACAACCGCACGCCTCGGATTCTTCGACACATTCATGAAGTCTCTGAGTGCGCGCGCAAAGGAAAACGGTACCACGATTGGATTCAAAGAGCGTGCGGGTGCGGGTCTCGCGGCCGGTGGCCTGGCAGCCATGGTGGGCAACCCAGCGGACCTGGCGCTCATCCGCATGCAGTCCGACGGCCTGAAGCCCGCAGCACAGCGCGCAAACTACACATCGGTGATTGACGCCCTGGTGCGCATCAGCAAAGCCGAAGGCGTAACCCGGTTATGGGCCGGCAGTTACCCGACGGTCGTACGCGCTATGGCGCTCAACTTTGGCCAGTTGGCCTTCTTCTCCGAGGCCAAGCAGCAGCTGCAAAGCACCAGCCTGTCGTCGCGCAGCCAGACGCTAACCGCCAGTGCCATTGCCGGCTTCTTCGCCAGCTTCCTCTCGCTGCCCTTTGACTTTATGAAGACGCGCCTTCAGAAACAAACCCGAGCCCCCGACGGCTCGCTCCCCTACAAGGGCATGTTTGACTGCTTCAAGAAGGTCGCCAAGGAAGAGGGCTTGATGCGCTTCTACCGTGGCTTTGGAACCTACTACGTCCGCATTGCTCCTCATGCGTAAGTTTTTTTTTCCCCCGTCTCCCTGAATTCGAGTATGAATGGATAGTCCAACTAACCTGGATTGATTATAGCATGGTAACCCTCATCGTGGCCGACTACCTCGGTTTCATTACAAAGTAAACCAACCAAAGAACAATGATAGAAAGAAAGAAAGAAAGAAAGAAAGAAAGACAGAAAGAAAGATAAATGTACCTACCTGTTTTGTTTTATCTATAGGAGAAAAAACAGCAGTAGTACTCTCTCGCAATCTGCCATCTCTCTCTCTCTCTCTTTTTCCAGACACACCTCTGCTGTTCCTCCAATACAACGAACATGTCAGACCGGAGACCAAACTAGAAAGAGAGAGAGAGAGCGAGACCCCCCTTTACGAAACATACACATATACATACACACGCCCTTTTTTCTGGGAGTGGAGGGGGGACATTCTTCTTCTTCTTCTCGCTTTTTTTTTTTACTTACGCTTGTCGTATGAGATCACGTCATTCCTCCTCCTCCTCCTCCTCCCACATTCTTGTACGTAAAACCGACAACAACAACAACAACAACAACAACAACAACAAAAAAAGGCGCGTGTCGTGTGCGCGGAACCCCCCTTACCCACTCTCGCCCAGGTGTCCTAGGGTTTGGTTTCCCCCCGCGCGTTTTTTTTTCTTTCTTTCTTTCTTTCTTTTTTCGGGTTTCTTGTTGTCTATTTGTTTGTTTTGTTTATCTGGCGTTTTTATGTATTTTTTTTTCTTTTTTTTTCCGAATCTGATCTGTGATCTGACCTGATCTGATTTGATCAGTGTGGTTTTGGGGTCATATTTACGTATTTCCATGTTATTGTTTGGTTTAGGGATTCGGGGGGGGGGTTTCGAGTCAATTCAGGTCAGATTCAAATTCAAATTCAATTTAATTGCTATGTTGTGTTGTGCTATGCTAGACATCCTGCCTTTTGATTTTACTGCTGCTGCTGCTTTGATTGATTGATTGCTGCAACTCTTCTTATCAACGTCGCTGTTGGTTTGCTAGAAACATATACAATGGTTTAACCGACTAAGTAAGTAGTGCTGCTGTTACTCGACGTGAATTTTGGTCTTGTTATCCGGTTCTATCGGTAATGAGTTGTTCGTAGACATGACATGTCACTATGAGGTGTTTTTTCAGACAACGATTGGGCATGAATCATAATTAGTTGCTGTTCTAGAAACACTCTTCACAACAGGTAGCGAATCTTCAGCACACGTGGATGCTCAAAAATACTTGATACTTAATTCACTTCCTCACAGGTATACAACTACTAACCTCTCTGCTGCATTCTCTCCACAAACCACTAACCTTTACAAATCCTACCTCCTCCCACCACCAATATCCTGACCCAACCTGTATCCGCTAATCTTCTCCCACTCAATCTTCTGCCTGGTAATAGGCAGCTGTCTCCGGAGCGACTTGAAGGCGCCCTCGCTGAGGCTGCCAAACGCCTTGTTGAGATCCTCCTGGTACTTTTTTTCCTCGGCGGCAATCTTCTTGATCACGTCGGGCCCGGTAGCCCCGCTGCCAGCGCCAACACTGACCTCCTTGGTGGTAAGCAGGCGCACGTTTCCGTCTTCGTAGTAGTGCACGTCGACCTTGACGCTGCCCGTGATGGTGCCCGCGGACGTGTCGTAGATGTAGGAGCTGCGCCAGCGCCCGTTCCAGTAGTTTGTGGGCGAGTACTTGTTTGCGACGGTGAGGATGGCGAAGGATGACGGCGACGACGGGACCGGGTACACGCCGTGCGACGACTTGGGGTAGTGTTCTGCCGTGTGCGCGCTCAGGGCCTTGTTCAGGCTCTTGCTGGTGGGGGGTGTTAGCAGGGGTTCGGCCTGGGGAAGACGTCGTGGGGTCCCAACGTACAGAAGTTCGTCGTTGGAGCTTTCCACCACGTGGCTTTGCACTGCGCTCGCCTTGCCCGTCGCATGGTCGAAATCAAACGAGCTCTGCGTGTCGATGTCGTAGTACCGCCCGTCGCCAAGCGAGTTGTACTGGCTGACGAGCACCTCGGTGCTGCCGCCTGGGAGCTTGGTTGTGGTGAATTGCTCCTCGTTGTACTTTTGAAACGCGGGAGAGAGCTCGTTCTGGACCGAGTCGTCGCCGAGGATCGACTTGATTGCTTTGGTGACGTCGGCGAGCTGTGTTGGCTGTTAGCGGGTGTGGTGACGGGAGCTGCGCGGGGCAGGTTGCCAAAGGGGGGGAATGTACCTCACCCGGCGGCGCGCTGTCGATGAAGGAGGAGAGGGCTTCTGTTCGTGACATGTCTGCGGTTGGTCTACACAGCACAGCAATTGTTCGGCGTAAGGGTGAGGTTGCGGGCGCACGTCGAGGGCGGAGGAGCCAAGTGGGGTCCAACGGGGGTGCAGGGGCCAGCTCACTTTGTTGTACGCGCGCATAGCGGAGCCCCGGAGACAAAACAGACACTTGATAGTGACAAACATTATTGATGGGTATCTATGTCAAGTCAAGCAAGCAACCAGCCATATGCGCCGTGTGCTTCCGGCTCATTCTACCTTGAACGCCACGCTAAAAACAATAACACCTACTGCACATTTTCATGAGACCAGGGCATGCCGAGCAGCTACTCGATGCTCATCTTCATCAAGCCATCACTGGTGTCAGTCATACCTTGGAGACCTATCCTCTTAGGGCCCAGTGTGGGCGTCATACTCATACTGCCTCCGCTATTTGAGCGCTCCCCATGCGAATGGCCACTGATGGAGGTTTCCCTGCCGGACTTGGTGGTGGTGCCCCACAAACTTCCATCTCGTTGCGCAGGCGACTGCGAGATGACTGGACTATTTTGAACACTAACGCCTGGTGAAACTGCACGCCGCTTGATCGAGGCTTCGTCAAAGTCGTCGTCTCGTCGGCGTTTGTTTGACTTCTTGAGCGCTTCCGCTGCTGTCGGGGGCTGCATCGGGCCAGGAGTGGATGCCCGAGACGCCCCGCCGTTGGCACCCATCAACGGCGAGTCCATGCTCATGTCTTCACTCATGGCTGATGACTCGCCTCGCGGGAAAGATGGTGGCGGAGGCGTGTGTGCTGCACGTTGGTTCCAGAAGCCATTGCTGGTCGAGCTGCGCCCAGTACTGTGCAGACTGCCAAATACGCCAAACAGCCCCTTGGTGGTTGCATTGTCCAGGCTCATGCTGCTTTCGTCGCCTTCTTCAGGCACCCCTTCGAGGGGGCCGTCTAGCCCAGGCACAGCGGGGAGAAGGCTAGGGGACGACTGTGCTGTGACCGAGGTCCTTTCCTGGTCCACGTCGCTCTCTCTTACTTGCCGAATGATTTCGGCTTCACGACGAAACTCGCTGTCCACAGGAGCGGCCTCTTCAAACAGTTCAGCCTTGATACGGCCAAATTGTCTCGATTTGGGCTGGCCAAGTTAGCATGCTCGGTTTCCAACAGAGACAGAATGGCACGTACAAGCAAGTTGCCTCTGCGAGTGACAGCCCGTCTCACCACACCGGGCGTCTGGGGTAGATTGGCAGCTTCGTCGCCGCTGTCGTTGCCAGACGAAATGTGCAGGTCGTTGGCAAAGATGGACAGGCTCTCCCGCCGCGAGCCTGCCTTGCGCATGGCGGCCTCGCGGGCAAAGTATCCCGTGTCTTTGCCGTTGGGCGGCGATGCTGGGCCAGGACTCGCCATGGAGCTGTGTCCGCTGGCGGAGCTCGAACTCTTGCGGCTGCGCCCCTTGCGCAGTCTCGCGCGGTGCATGCTTGCAAAGCTTGGCTGTGCGCCTGGCGAGAAGAGATTTGCCCAGATGCCGTTGTTGCCTGTGCCGAGGCCCGGGAACAGGACATTGGTTTTGGCTTGCGGGGTCGTAATCATGGGGTCGTCGTGGTCGTCCGGGTCTAGCGGATCCATGTCGTCTGAAGAGCTGCTCGAGTCTTCGGATCCCATCATGTTGATGCTGCCCACGGAGCTCGACGGGGCCGTCCTGTCGCCGTGGCTCCACCCGCCGGCCTGCAGGCTCACGTTGGGCGATTCCATCAGCATCGAGTTGGACCGAGGCTTGCGGGGCGGTATCTTGATGCCCTTCTGGGTAATGGTGGGCGACGAGTCGGGCGACGACTGGTCGGGGAGCGTCGAGTGATGGAGGTTGGTGCAGGCGCGCGAGAACTCTGCGCCGCGCGAGCGTCGTGGCAATACTGACCCGGGCGACGCATACGTGTTACGTGCATCTAGTTGCGGTGAGAGAGGCACACGCGCAGCAAACTGTGCGGGGCTGGGCATATGCGACTCTCTCGAGGGCATCTGCAGCGACAGGCCTCTGGAGAGGAAGTCTGGGCGGCGAGGCGTGCTGGGACTGGCATTGATGGCCTGGTCGTCCTTGGACATGCGTGCGGGCTCGCGGAACTTGGGCGATGGGTCGAGACGGGGTGCGCTGTCCGAGAGCGACCGTGCTTTGGGGGACTGCATCTTTGGTGGTGTTGTCACGGCCTGCGAGCACGAGTGCGAGTCCATGGCCGCGTCCTCGCCGCCGTCGCATCGGCTATCCATGGCGGCCGTCAGCATTGCGTCCAGTGGGTGCGGGTGGTTTGGCAGGGCGACTGTCGAGACTCATTCTACTAGCGACGCGCCGTGGACAGGAATGAAACTGCTGCATAAGTATGGCCCCGACGCTCGACGTCAGTGTCGCCTAAGCGGGGCGCTTAATCACGCCCTCTCGTCACGTGCGCGGCCCCGTCGTGCGCCTGAATTCACTGCGGTGCCATCCATGTTGGTGGTGACGCTTGCATTGCTCACACATTGCATCTGCATGCGCGTCCCCTGAGCGCCTACATCGTATACGCCTACACACACCCCTCCCGCCATGCCGCTAAGAGCCCACGATGCCCGCTACCCATTGAATGTCCTCCCATGTTGCCTCCCATATGTTGTGGACAGCCATGATGCGCTCCCTGCCGTTGCGCCTCATGGTGCCAATGCACCGGCACATACGCCCTGGCTGCAGCAGCCGCCGGCCGTCATACTCAAACAGCTGCACCGCTTTCCACATGGCTGCATCATACACGCCCTGGATGTACGGGGGCTTGGCGTGGAACACATCGCAAAAAGTAAAATACTGCTGCTTCTCCGTCCGCTCCGAGGCAAGCACTCGCGCGTACAGCTCAATCATCACGTGCTGTCCCGACTTGGCTGCTTGCGAGCTTTGGTTGATCGCCTCGCCGATCCGAAAGCATGTCCTGAGTAGTGTGTTTGACGAGAGCCCTATGATAGGCGAGCGGTCGCGAACTGCGCTGGGAAATAAACGTCTGACAATGGGCTTCCGAGCCGCTGCACGTGTCTCATTGCCATCTGCAGCCAATAGCCGTGTACCCAGAGTGACGGGAGAGACGAATTTCTTCAAGGTGTTTTGGGTGCTGCAGACAGCAGGCGCTTCCTCAGGCGTGTTCCCGTGGTAAGGTTCGATGAGATGCCCCTGGCTATCATCGCTCTTGTGAGACTTGACAAGTGAGCTTGAGACACTGTGCGGGGCATCAAAACAAGTTCCGTCCATGTCTGAGGCCAACCCGAGTAAGTCGTCGTCAGTGATATCAAAAGTGTAGTCATCGCCGCTGTCAGTTAAATTGCTGTTGTTTTCTTGGCTGAGCGGCTTGCAATGACCATCTGACAGTGCACGAAGCTCATGGTCTTCCCCGAGATGCAGCAGCGGAAGATGCGAATCCTCAGCATATGGCGCATCCACAACATCTTGGCTAGCCGTGCGTTCTGTTTCTGCGTCAAAAATGCTCCAAGGGGGCACACGCGACACATCTTCAGGATAAGCAATGCCTTGGTTGACCAAGACATCGCTATTGGTAACTGGTGCATCCGTGTCTGAGTCATGAGCAGCCGCGCGAGTTTGGGTGCTGTACATGTATAGCGCAGCCTTGACTCTCGATACTTTTGCATTGCCTGCAGTTTCTCTCACGCCAAGTTCTTCAGATACAAGCTGCTGAGTCGAGGCATCCCTCCGTGACTTCTCGCCGTGCGTCAGTCTTCGCCGCTTCCGCACAGGCTTGGTGGGGATATGCGAATGACGCTATTGCTGCCTTGATCAGGAGGAGCCTGTCACCCCGCAGTGGGGGCTGAGTAAGGAAGGACGCCGCAGCCGGCGCGTCGTGACTTCCCCCCCCCCCCACTCTCACGAAACTTTGGGCGTCAACATCTCGCAGCGTACCGGCGTATTATTATTCTGTCCACGAGCCTCATGAATACATGGCGTGATGATGCCATGACCGACATGGTTGCGGGCAAGCATGGTGACGATGCGTGAGGGACCCAAACCGCCTTCATCCATTACCTACTGCTGCTGCTACTTGTGTCTCTTCACCGGCCAGACTAACATGAAGCCTGCAGACATGCTTATCCACGCCTAGTTTCGTCTAGCTTCACTGCCATCAACCATCAACCTATCCAGCTCTTGACGCCTGAATCTTCGTCGGCCGCATCTGCCCGGCCATGCCAGAGTCCACCAAGAACAGCCAGCAGCCAGCGACGGCGGCACAACCCAGACGTTGCCCGATATCTAGGGTTGGGCAGCACAGTCGAGCCAGCCCACCTCGAGAAGTTTGCACCGCGCTCAGCCTTACCAGACAGTCCGGCGTCTACAGACAACATCCTCACTCGATAGATCCCAAGCTCCGCGGTCCTGCAACAGCCTTCTTCTCTGCATACCCCGTCAAGCTCGCCAGCACGTCTTTCCGAGCGGCCCGATATCGTGCTATTCTTATCTGTAACACCGGCCATCTTCCTTCGACCTGCATCCCACGTTTCAAGCCGTGGTAACAAAACCCATCGCCCATCTGCGCAGGTCTGTTGTAACAGCAGAAGGAATATTTCACCTGAGAAGGGGCTGCTTTTTCTCCACGCAATCGTAGCAGAGCTCCGCCCTCGCGCTTCCCGTGAGGCGATCATTGCACATGCCGGTAAGCCAGATTTATATTTTCTGCGTACAAAACCACCACCAGGCCGTGACTGCGGCCTCTGTAAACAGCTTTCCCCCGATTCCCCATTCCTGCTTGAGATTATCCTTCCCCGCCCAACCATGATTCCCAAGGACCCCAAAGTCGATGCTGAGCCGCTTCTTGATGGCCAGTTGGAGCGTCGACCTTCTGCCCGTCATCGCTACTATTCCTGTGGCCCTGAAGCGCTGGCCTCTCCCCGGCAGAGTGTGTCTAAACCAGGAAAACACAATGGCCGATCCTCACGCGCAGCAATTCACCACCACAAAGACCCCCAAGCCTATGCAGAGTTGCCGATATTTGAGAATCCTTGCCCCATATGTTTCTTGGACCACTATAACAAAGCACTAAAAGCCTGGCTTCGGCAATAGAAACACGCATTCTCGGCCGTCACGGTCCAGATTGACCGACTGACGAGCGAGCAATATGAGGAGAATGTAAGCGTCACCGTCTTGCCCGCGTCTTCCGTGCTGACTGGCCTAGGATATTGGTGGAGTCGTGGATCTGATCGAGGTTATCCGTATCCAGGCATCTGGACCGACCGAAGCAGCTCGAGCTTTGCGCAAGAAGCTGTAGGTTAGGACTCTGCATGGCTGACACCGCTTTAACACCAATGTAGCAAATATGGCAACGTACATCGCCAGATACGCGCTCTTGTCCTACTGGATGCATTAATTCAAAATGCCGGCACGAGGTTTCAGAAGACTTTTGCAGACGAGTCACTGTTGGAACGACTTCGCATCCTAGCCAGGGACGATACAGTCGACCCTGATGTGCGGCAGAAAGCGAACGTCCTATTTCGCGGATGGGCCGTGGAATACAAAGGAACGCCTGGTCTCGAACGAATAGCGGCACTCCATAAAGAACTGCCTCGCACCAAACGTCCCCAGCCACAGCAGTCTCGCATCGTTCGGCAGCAAGACGCTGAAGCGGCTCGCGAACGCGAAGAGCACTCACAATCTCCCCCCAGGAATCGGCGACCTGAACCGCCTCATACATCGTCTTCAAAGATGAGTACGCCCATTGGACCAGGTGTCAGCGCCCCTCTTCCCAGCTCTTCCATATTCAAGAGGGACAAGAAGGACAAGAAGGCCAAGCGACAGCCGTTCAACCTGGAAAAGGAGAAGGGCCAAATGCTCGAAACTATGGCAGAGGCCAACGTTGCTAGTGCTAACCTCTTGAACGGGTTGCAACTCATCAATCGTGAGCAGCAGCGGGTCAGTGAAAATGCAGAAGTCATGCGTCGTTTCGAGACGTGCAAGCAACTCCGCCGTCAGATTCTGCGCTACATCCACCTTGTTGAGTCGGAGCAATACATAGGCGGTCTCCTTAACGCGAACGACGAGCTAGTCAAGGGCCTCATGGCGTTTGAAATTATGGACAAGAGCATCGATGATGACAGCGACAGCGATAACGAGTCGGGCAATGTGTCTGCTGCCGAGTCGGCCATGGCCCACATGAGTGTGAATGAATCTGCCCCGCCAAAGCCTCCACGACCAGTGAGCATTCCCATGCCCAAGGCTCGTGTGGAGCCGGAGAGTGAACCTGAAGAAGACGAAGATGATCCATTTGGTGACAGCAACGGTGAGTGTACCAAGACTGATATTCTAGGCATGTCTAACATTCCACAGCCATCAAAACGCCGTTTGTTGAGAAAGGCCAGCCAACTTGGAGGGATGTGTAGCATGTGTGACAACGTGATGCGAAGGCCATATTTGCGGCAATCATCGTGTTTTGCGGATACCCTTTCCTATGGGTTCGTCATTTAGCTAGATATGATAAGGCGCGACAAATTGATCAGCTACTTTTACTTTGTCTTTTGATTTGCTTCTGCTTTTGAGATGCTGTCAGAGCCTATAGCTTGAACGTGCGGCGTCAGCCACGTTCACTGCCACGCGGGCGACGTCATCTTTGCTAGCGCCGGCCTGTCATTGGCCTAGCGCCACGCGCAGCAGCATTGGCATTGAAGCAGGGCTGAGGCCTTGGAGACGGTTGAACGACTGTCTTAATCTCACTTTGCCCCCTCCCAAAGAACGACTTTACACCTCCCACACCCCATCTCATCCTATTCCGCCACCCACCCACCCCGTAAGCCCCCCAGACGCGCCCTGGCGCGCAGATAAAAGGAGAAAAGCAGCATGCTAACCAACACCCCAGCGCATCTCGATCGCATCCACTCCCCCCCATCGAATCCTCGTATCCCTAGGGCACTTTCCACCCCAGATCTTCCCCTTATCCGACTATTCGCCGCCAACCCCTCAAAAGTCGCGAGATATTTCCCTCTCGGAGTCTTTTTTTCTATTGTTCGCTACGATGCCTTCCTCGACCAAATCCTCCATCTCGTCCACCGCTGGCTCCATCGTCAAGCCCCAGGGCACAAAGTGCAGCTGCATTAGCACCGACGACTGCAGTTGCTGCTGCATTCCCTGCACCGTCATGTAAATCGAAGACTATTCCCGCGCGCATAATGTCGCGTACTCGATGAGGCGGACAAGGCGCTGCGTTGGGGCGCGCGCAATACGCCATGGTGACACGATGACGGACTACAATCGTTATTGATAATCAGGGTGTTTTTGGGGGTCGGCTGTTTTGAGCGAAGCATACGGGGGCAATATCGCTGTGAAGAGGGAGTTTATTTTTTTTTGCGGTTTTCCTTTGGAGTTGAAGCGGGAACAACGCGGTCTTTCCCACTGCCTATGGCGTGAACGGGGCTTGCATGCAACTCATAGCAAAATGTCAATATTTGGTATTTTTTTTCTTTCTCATGTTTGCGCGGTTGTATTTGCATAACCTGCTTGAATGCTACCATTATACATATTAGACGTCTGATCGTTTTTAGAAGTTGAAATCTAGCGCTCAAGCGGAGCGAGGGGTGGGACTCGATGTACACGTCGCGGTTGTGAGGCTGGATTTTACAGCGTCGCGGAAGTTGGGTGTTTGATATGGATTGCTGATGGATTGTTTGGAAGGAAGTGCGAGGTTCTGTTCCGCATGTCTTTTGTGTGAGTGTGTGAGTGTGTGTGTGTGTGTAAATGCATATAATTCTACCCGTATTGATACTCCCACTTTCCCACTTTCGCATTAAACTTTCTCATTGGAAAAAATAGCAAAATACGGACGTCTCGATTCTTTGGGGGGGGGGGACACGGAATCTGGCTAGCGCACAACTTAGGTACCCTAGTGAAGTGAAGTGAAGTAAAGTGAAGCCGATATAAAAAAAAGGGGTATAATAATCAGCACTATTATTGTATTCACCTCAGCGCCTCGGTTTTACCGTGGGGTAAAGTGTGGAGTGGAATTGAAGGGGTGGTAAGATGAAGACAGGGGGGGATAAAGGGACTCTGGGACTTTTGCTTTCGTATGCTGAAGGGAAGTTTGCATGGCTGGGTTTGTCTTTCAGTGTGCGCTGATTACATGTGCGTCTATCCATTCATCTATCCATGCTTGCCTACATACATACACACGAACGAAGTAGAAGCGGGATCTGTCACTTGTGTGCTACGTAGCCATGCAACTCTGTACACAAGTATATGAATTTGATTCCCTGTATCATGGTTTAACCACCACTCACATACCCACCGATCCATCTCCCATCCATCCACCCACTTAGCCAGCCAGCCAGCCATTCAGTTAATCACATTACTTTCCATACACGTACATGTACACTTTAATTTCCTCGCCGTGTTAAAAATAGCATTGCAGTACCGCACCTAGTCCGAACGAAAGAAAAAGAGGGAAAATGCACGGGTCATGAATCCTACAGGGCTATCTACACCTACGTACATGTACATGCAAACATACAGACGTAGGATGCGCTAGTGCTAGTGTAAATCGGAGATTTGACTTGTGCCTAGGTAGATGGATGGATGAATGGATGGATGGATGTAGGAGCCGAAAGCGGCGTGGTACAAGTACCCACCGCAGTGAGTTATATGGAAAATGGTATTTTTTTTTGTCTTGATATGATTTGTCTGGCTTTTTTTTTTCGTATTCCTCTTCTCGCGTCCCTTTCCCCTCAACCCCCAAACCCCCACACCCATCTTTCCCCCCCTCTCTTTTCCGAACCCCCCACTCGCCTGCCCCCGCAAACGTACATTGCATAATGCAGGCAAAAGTTGCGCTCGGCACTTTTTGCCTAGGCTGGGCGCGTGGCGAAACACTGGGCGATGGGGGGGGGAGTTATTAGTAGATGTGGATGAGATCATCTGATGTGTCAGGTCATATTTGCAGAGTACCAAGGCGGGTTAAGAAGGGTCGATACATTAGATGAGTAGGTTTATTTCCGGGGTTTGGCGTGCTAAAGGTGTGGGTGTGGTTTGTGGGTCATGTGGTGTGTATATTGAAACCGAGTTTAGCAACATGGAAAACACGGTGTATGGAGCTAAGTAGTAATATTGTATCTAGGCAGTTTTAAAGCCTGAAAAAAACAAGAATAAGAACAATGCCTAGTAAGATGGTTTGCCAGCTTGTGCAGGCCAAACAAATGGTGATGGTGGTGGTATAATGTCTACATGTCTCCAAATTCTCTCTCTCTCTCTCTCTCTCTCCAATTGTAACCGGGAACGAAAAAAGTATATGGTATCATAAATATGGGGGGCAAAAGAAGCAGATTAAAAAGATGGTGGACTCCAAGAAAGTAGGTAATGCAGGAAAGATCGCTCCCATGGCGAGGCGGATGCCTCTTCTCAGTGGTATCATTACTTTCGTGTCCTCGGGCGATGTCGTCGCAAAGGAGATGTCTTTGGAGGCCTCGTCAAGAGGCTGTGTCGATGGTACGCAGGGCTTGGGACGTCGCCGTGGTATAGTGGACTTTTTTCTCTTCAGGCCAGCTGCATCGTTGCCTCTGGAGCTGGCGTGCACCGCAGCGCTCTTGATTCTTTCGCTCGGGTCTAGGCGTTTGCTGGAATCCTTCACTTCCCGACGCTGGTGATGATGGTGGTGGTTTGCGGGACCTTGTTGGAGAGTGGCAGGCCTTTTTCAATGTCGCGCATCTTGTTGGCGTTCTTGCCTGGGGGCGGCGAGTTGAGGCGAATGCCAGTGCGTCGGTTTTCACGAACTTGCTTGTTGTCGACAGCCGAGCGGCCAGTAAAGCGACGAGAGGCACGACGGATGGAGGCGCGAACGTCCCATTGACGCTTCTTTGCGAGCCACCAGAGCACTCCGGATACGACTAGATGGTTGTTAGCTGAAGATTCTTTGAGAGAAAAATCGATAGACATACCGGAACCGAGAACGACGACAACAGCAACTACAATAATAGCTGCAATGGCACCGCCGGAGAGATTGAAAGCGCCCTTTGATGATCCCGCAGCACCAGCATCGCTAGGATCCTGCGGGTTGTCGCTGCCCCCATTGTATCCTGGAGGAGGGAGCTGGGCCAGGACCAGGAGAGGGAAGAGGGACGAGAGGAGGAGAGGCCCGCTCATGGTGTTGATGTTGGTGGCAGGATGCGGCGTCGACGGAGAATTGATTGAGTTATGGTGACACCAGGATGGCGTGAAGGACGTTCGATCAGGTGGATGGATAGCTACAACTCGCTACCAGGGCCGAGGGCACGTCTCTATATTTGCATGGCTGCGTGCGCGACTCTTTTACCCAGGCCAATACCTTCTCCATTGCTAATGGCATGCCCCGCTGGTCTCAGGGCTGCTCGGCGGTTAGTAGTGTGCGCCTGAACGGTCGGCCGGGATGGCCATGGGCAGAGCCCATCAGGCCATTTTCTTAATATAGCGGCATTGGCGTCGATTGCGGACGGGCTTGGGAGGATGAGATGCGCGGATTGGCAGGGCGTTGATGGGGCGAGGGCGCGTAAACGTGGTGGATGGACATCACCGTGCAGCCGCGGCACATGATTGGCCGGGCCCTGGTCACAACCGCCCGGCTAGCAATGTCGCCGCACCCTCTCGTTTCAGGCATGCCAGCCAGCAACAACTCTCCCTCCTCCGCTATACGCCCCGCTACTGTGACAGCAGCCCCGCCTCGCAGTCGCTGAAGCCCGTAGCAGCCATGCATTCTTGCGCCGTGCCCGGCCCTTGACGGGTACTCCGATCCTGACTACATCAGAACGCGCCCGTCCCGTCCTCGTACAACGCCGTGGAAGCGCTTTATGCGTACACTTCGACGGCCTATGGTTTGTCCAGGACGGGGCTATTCGCTGGCATGCTGGGCGCTGGTTGCTGGCGGCATCGACTCGTGGTTTCGCAAAGCGCAGTCGGTGAGGCCGTAGCATGCAGCTGTCTGTGGCAATGAATCTCCGGCATACGTGGGTAGTGGGCGTTAGCCACCAGCGTTGTGATGAGCGGTCTTTCGGCGGCGAAAAACGAACAAGATAAAAACAAGTTTATAAGAGCAAGGATTAGCGATAGGACGCTCGCAGCGGGAGCACTGATGAAGGTGGATGCCCGCGTGGAGGTGGTATTGTGAGCTATGACTGATGCATTGAAGGCTGCTCAAGGTCACGTGCGTGCTGCTTGGTACGCCCTAGTCCACGGCAGGCGTCTGAAGGTAACAATGCAGAGTAACTTCACAATCGCCGTTGGGATCTTCAGAAAGCTGTGCATATCTTGCAATTTCCAGGGTTGAAGCAGAGCTCTCTGCAGACGCACTGTTCAGATAGCTCTCTCAAGTACAGGGCAAAGCGGGATTGATATGAGATTATCAAGACAGATGCAATGACAGACCGGGATAGGGACAGCCTCGAGGTGAAGGCAAGCATCTTCTGCACCAGCCGCAGGTATCATTAGACCCGAAAGCAATTTCATCCCCTTATTTTGAGTCTCTCTACTCATTTTCAGGGCCGTCCATATGTTGCGGTCTTGGCCAGCCATAGTGCGTCATCAAAGGTCAACGTGCCTTCCTCACATCTATGCAAGAAAGCGCAAAGAGAAAACAACCCCACAAGCTTCGTCTCCGCTCCTCCTGCCACCCAACCTCACTTCCACATACTCCAGCCCAGCCCATTCCATTAAGCAATCATAGCTGCCTGTTACTTTCACTATCCGTTGCATCTCACCTTCTCCCCTCCGCATCGCAACTGCCGCCATACGACTTCACTCACTCACCATGGCCGAACAGGCTGCTAGAGGAAACCAACCTGTAAGGGAACACAAACCCTCACGCCTTCGTCATGAAGTTCGAGTGACTCCAAATGGCGATGAGAGGGAAGATCAGAGTCACCTTGGTCCAATGCCTCACAGCGATACCGTGGTCCCCGAGACACAGCTTGATGACACCAGATGCCTTGACGACAATATACATAGCGATGAAAACGAGTCGGACTGTGATCAGAATCTCATGAGTCCGAATTCACGCGCCACTTTGAAGGGTTTTGTGGTGACTCCAAAGGCGAACCCGATTGACACTGACCCATGCATCTTCAAGTCCTTAACCAAGGAACTTCCAGGACTTGATGGCGGCTCGGCTCCCTCCTTCTCAAAGCCGCATTATATTCGAAGATCTATGCAGATGCCAAAGACAATCACTACACAAGGTGGGCTTGCTGGACCGCAGTCTGCTACTACCACATTGGCATCATTCCAAGATCAAGCGAGGCGCAAAATGGGACTCAATGGTAAGGATGTTGCCATTTTCTAGTTCATACTACTCACGCTTACATAGTGCTTGTTGCCGCTACCAACCCCACGAGCATCTCAGTTCGAGGCTTGCCACACAGCACACAGGATGCGCAGTATCGTACACGCGTGCAAGAACCCGAAGCATCCAATGCATTTTCTCGACTCCCAACGAACGACCGACACGACGAAAAGGCTGGTCATTTCGGGTAAGAATCCTGGCCAGGCTATGAAGAACGCCACTGACAAAGTCAGTCCGATGCAGTCTGGCATAGGACCTGGACTTCCACTGCCAGAGCGTGCCATCGAACGAAACAACAGGACAAAAAAGAGTGGCACAGCCAACAAAGATGGGGACAATGGCAGGGATCTACCATCTCAGCAGCACGGTGGACCGTTGAATCACCAGCCAACCAATGTCGCTGGTCCTATCCAACACTTTGGCGATATCAATGAAACTGTACGCGAAATAATCCCCGATCCGCAGATCTTGCCTTCTGTTGAGGTACATAACGACCAGCCACGCGTCACTCCCGAGAACAATATGACGTCGGCTTTCGCTACCCATGATCCCAAAGAAATCAGCTTAGGTTACCAGGTGCATGAGTACCAAGCCCAGGAACAAAATCATGCTGAGCGTCAGACGAAATCATACAGAAGCACCCAGGAGATATCCAAAACAACATCAGCTGGTCTGTTGAATAAACCTTCGCAGCGGGCATCTTCAATGTCTACTTTGAAATCCGCATCTGTTGCTACTGAGCAGCCGCTTGACTTCAATTCAGAGCAGCAGTGCTTGCGAGTGGAATACAGCCAAGACATGATTCCTCGCCGCGAGCAGAACAGTCTTCAACACCCAGCCACGATTTCCCCAAAGGAGCCGCATGATGGAAATTTGCCATATCCGAATGGAACGCCAGGTGACGAATATGCATTTAGAGGGCAGTCACTTTCGTCAAATACACATGCGACCTCCGCACGGCCCGAGGCACGAATCAAGAAACCCGAGGAGATATTGCATCGAGTATCAGGCCATGCAGGGCCCAATCGCGTAGTCAAGCCACCAAGAAACTCACGGGCAGAAAGCAAATCTGCTCCGCAAAGGTTCCACGCGTCATACATGTCACCTAATGTCAAAAGCTCGGTTGAAAGCCTGCTCCTAGCGTTAGAAGCAGACAGTTTTCGGAGAGATCATGAACACGACAAAGAGTCTGAACATCAAAAGGAAAAAGTTTCTATACTCTGTGAGCAGCTGGATTTCCAAAAGATGATTATTGAAGACTGCAAAGATCAGCGAGAAAAACTGCAGAATGCACTGAAAGGTGTGACCGACAAAGCCAAAACTAACCAGAATTACTTGGAAGGTCTTCACAAGGACTATGAAAATTTGCGCAAGTCAATGTTATCGACCAAGGAGAAAGACAAAAAGGCACTCAGAGCAACTATTGCTGAATTTGAGGACGAAAAGCAAAAGCTGAGGCATGAATTCGAAGATGCCGCGACCAAACTCCTCGAAGGCCAGAGGAAAACGAAGGCAGTCGCGGAGGACCTGTTTTCACAGTTGGAAGTAGCTAACGCAGCAAAGAAAAGCCTGATGGAGAGACTGAATCAACTGGAAGCTGCGTACGCAAGAGAGCAGAAAAAACGCGAAGATGCTGAGAGCAAACTCCTGAGTGAGTTTCACCATTTGCAACGTCAAGCCAATGACGATTCAACGACTGTTATCAATATGCTGGAGTTGCTACACACTTCAATCGAGAAGGCTGCTACGGGCGACTGTCCGGATAGCAAGATCAAAGAGAGTCTTGATATTCTGAAGAGCTTACAGAAAACACCTCCCTTGAAGATACAGGATGTCCAGAAGGTAGAGGGAATGGTGCGCTTGGTGCAAGAACGGCAAGTAATAATCAAGCCTAGAGGAACACGTCGCGCTAACATGTAAGGCAGCATGAACTCAGGTCTGGAAGACCTTTCAAAGGCAATTATGAGCTCTGTACCATCAACTGCAGATCTCCAGGCGTGCATACAGCAACAACTACAAGATTTGCGCAACAAAATGATGAATTATGAAATCATTGTTGCGGAGAATTGCAAGATGAAAGAATCGAGCAGTGCTCTTACAATGCAACTAGAGGGCCAGAAACAGGAATGTTGTCGTCTCAATGAGCAAACGGAACGCCTACGACAAATTGAGGTTGATTTGAAGGTCCGCTGCAGCGAACTGGAGCGGGATCTGAACGATTTGAGAGCTGCAGCTCACTCTTCTCAAACCGACATTTCAGAATTGGAAAGGACTAACACTGATCTACGCCGAAAGCTGAAGGAAACTGAAAATGACCTAAAGGCAGCTAATGTGAAGATCAGCAAGGCTGAAGAGTCGCGAAAAGCCTCAGAGAAAGAAGCAGCAGAACACAAGGTAACGATCATGCTTCATTTCTTGATACAGTCTTGACACGTTACAGCATCGTTACGAGGTATCTCAGAAGCAGCTGGAGAGCATAGTTCAAAAACAAGCAGACGAGGTAGGAAGACCAAATTCATGGGGGCTAGTCTGCTAACTCGGTCTTGTAGAAGCGAAACACCGCGACGATTCATGAGACACTTTCGGAAGAATACATAGTGAAGCTAGGCGAAAAGGAAAAAGAGTTCAAGAGCCAATTAGATCGAATCAAGCTCGAACGCAACGAGAAGGTCATAGCCATCCAACAACTGAATGAAGACCTGGCTATTGCAAACGACCAGCTGGATCAGCTCAGGAAGAAGACCAAAGATCAGCAAGATTCGCACGATGCACTCCAAGCACAAGCATTGCAGCAGCACACTACGATGTGCCAGGAAGCAGATGAAAGAATCTCTCAATTATGTCAAGAGGCCCAGAATACCTTGCAATCGACACAGGACAAGGTCGCGACTCTGGAGAGAGAGAACCAAACTCTACTCTCTAGACTCGAGAAAGCTCACACAAACGAAGAAACTATGAAAAAAGTCGAGGTATCACTGTCTGGAGAAAAGCATCGCTTACAAGAGGAGATGACCAAGTTGTCCTCTGCTATCCAAGCCAAGGATTTGGAAATATCTCAGATCCGCGCAGATGCCGACGACGAGAATCGCAAAATCATCGCGCAGTATGGGAATGATATCGAAGACTACAAAAGCCGCTTATCCGAGACAAGTGCAAAGCTGAAAGAGCTGGAAGTGAAGGCTATACTGTGGGAAAATCTGAACCAGGCCAAAATTTCGGCGGCTCCAACGGTGGTTGAGTCTGAATTACTGGATGTTGAAGCTGAACGCCGCCATGGACTTGAGAGAGCCAAAGACCAAGATGCTTCAAGCAAACGGCACGATAACCATGATACAAGTCAAAGTCTATTCTCGTCCCAGCCTGATCAAAATGCTCGTGCGCCCAAAGCGCGAAAGAAAGTGAACCGCGAAAATCAGTCCGTCATCGAGGCTACCCAGACGCAAATTGACGGTCTTCAGTTTCCTGGATTGATCCATGACGAGCTCTCACAGACTCAGGTTGTTGATCCGGATTTATTCGCGACCTTTCTCAGGGACCCACATGATGTTCCTCGCCTCCAAGAGGATAGGGACTATTTCTCGGCTTTGAACTATACTTTTGACTCGGTTCCCGAAACCCAGGATCCAGGAGCTTTACCACTGTCCCAACAATTCTTCACAGAAAGGCTGGGTCAAGCTGCAGAAAAGGATCCCGAGCGTAATTCCTCAAGTTCTACTGATTTCAGTACCGTTACATCAAAAGAGCTGGCGCAAATGCAGAAAGAGGTGGAACTGAATTCAACATCAAAAGTCCGTGGCCACGAATGCGTGTCTGCAAATGCTAAGCAATCTTCCGTTACCATGACACCCGGGCCTCTTCACGCAGACGGGATTTCTGTGGGCAGCTCTTGTTCATCTCAACACCAAGAGCGACCAAGATCACAGGCTAACACGGCATCTCGAATGATGCCTCCTCCTAGCAACATTCCAAGCCAATCCCAAAGTCCCGTTGCATCTCGAGTGATCAGGATCAAGCTTCCAAGTAACCGTGAGAAGCTTGGTAGTATCATTCAGGGGTTTGATAAAAGCGTTCCTTCAGAAAAGCGGAAACTTCCCACAAGTGAGACTAACAGACGTACGACCTCGAAGAAGCAGCGTAAACCGGTTTCGCCCATGTCCGCTGTTCCCTCGCCTGGTTCACCAAAATATTCCCCGGGCCCATCCACGGGATTTATTGCCGGATCACGTTCAAGAGGAAGCGGTAAATCGAATGCGAAAAGTACCCCCACAAAACCGACCCGCGGAAGACCCCAAGGTAGCACCTCCAAAATCCACTCTGGCGTTCCCACCCTTGTCTCATCGGATGCAACTTATCCCTCTCTCCAACTACGCTTTTCACCAACGAATTCTGCTTCCTCCAAGCGTCCCCTCTCTCGAGTCACACGAAGCAACAGTAAGCGTCATACCTAGTGGTAAATTTCAAGAGTATCATGAAAACTGACCAGGTGATATAGGCAGGAACGGTACTGCATTTGGAGACGATTTCAATGACCGATTCAATGAAGAGCTAGGAGGATTTCATTGACTGCCCGTAATCTAATAGCTAGATGCGCGAAAATGAGTGTCATATTTGGAAGCTTAGGCGTGACCAGAGCGTCATTGCGCCATCTGAATACCTTTCGGGGTATTTCAACAGCAGCATGTTGAGACCTTGCCCCAGTCGCCTATCCGAAACAATCATAACAGTGTGATATCGTGCGCTACGTCCAGCAACCATGTTTTCAGCATCTTTGGCAATACTGCTATGAGGTATTTGTTCGACACTGAGTCCGCATGTCTTTATGAATCTGGTGCTGTACTCATGTGCGAAAACAGTCTAATCAAAGGTACTTGGCGGTAACAATCTAGACGGTATAGCTAGTAAACAGTGATATAGAATATCAAATAGCATGACATCGCCAATGGAAATTCTCTGGCAGATACTGAGCGTTAGTGGAAAGCATGGCGGTCAATGAGCTACCTCAGTCTGGAGCAGGGTATATTAGAAGGTATCTATAGGAATTCAGGATCAAATAGGTTCAGGATGTGTTAGATTGGACAGTGATGAATGCGGAGCGAGGCGGAGAAGCAATCGCCCAGCGGCGGGTGAGACCTCAATCAACGCTGATTGGCTGTTGGGCACGAGACCGCAGAACTTCGGCTTCGCATCATCAAACCATCCACCTTGGACACCACCACCATTGACGTCGCCACGACATAGATTTGCGCGTCGCAATGGCGAAGAAAGGTAAGTCTAGCCGTCCATTGTTCAAGTATATCCCTTGTCGCCGCCTTATCGCTTCGCGAGCCCACTGACAACCCCACGGCGACGCCGTTTGCACTGTACATGCGCTGACAGCAACGCTATACAGCAAAGTCCCGTACCATCATGGTGCGCCTCATTTCGATGGCCATGACAGGTTACTACCGAACAATGCAAAGACCGCGCACCCATCAACCTCTCAGTATGCTTAAATACGATCCTATCGGTACGACGCCCACCACCAATGTCCATCACACGATAGCGGCTTCCGCTCCCTCTTGAGTACTACACATCATTGCCCATGAGGAAATACCCCAGGGAAAATACGTGCGCAATTTGGTGGTTGGATGATGGCTGATAAGCTGGCAGTGCGGAAACAGGTACTTTTCCTGGAAGCAAAACGCGGCAAGAAATAACACCTCCAACGGGTCACGATATGAGCGCACGCGATAAAACAGTCATATTTCTTGAGGCGAGCAAGTGGACTGAATTTTCGTTGAGGGCCACGATAGGCGGCCAGAGTGGATTACCAGCCGCACAAGACGCGGGACTCGGCAGCCACAAGACCCATCTAGCTCTCCCAAATCCCGTGTTACACGGCACAAATATTTGTACACATACGCAGCAGTTTTCCGCATGGGCCGGCGTTAGCTTCAGTGTACAACATACGTCAGACGACACGTCCAAAACAAGACGCGCCTCTTTTCATGATTGAATCCATGCATTTCTCAACCTCGCGATTCCCACGTGCTCAACTACTGCTCCACAATTATTCTCTTCATCTCCCAGCCCCAGTACCGATTCTCATCTCCGAGACATCGAGACGAGGGCGACCGCCAAGATCAGAGCTCCGCTCCGCTGCTTTCTTTGCCTCTTGGCTGGAGCTAGTGTGCACGACAAGCCTCAATCACTTGGTCGGCTTACCTGACTGGGTCTTTCCGGATTCCGGATTGCTTGGACTACGTAAAACGAAGGCTTGCGCTATGCCCCCATTACCCCATATGTGGAAGAGCCAAGACTGGGGTTGAAAATGCCTGGGAAGAGCAGACTGTACATAAACTTGGCTTCGTAGTGCGCCCTGCTATGCATGCCGAGGTATTGGAAGTGCACTCTTGTATAAAATGACGCTGATCGGCTGGGGGTTTGGTTCCTGTTGATAGAATTCTCGTTGACTTTTTCCAACTGCGGAGATGGACTCCAAAACGTCAAGTGAGAAGCGCTCTGAGCAGTCTCCAGACACCCGCATCGATGATGTCGATTATTATCCGTCCCGAACCTCGCCACACAACTCGATTGAGCAAGAAAAGTCAGAAAATGGACCAACGGGCGTTCTAGGTGCATTCTCGAGGCTAGGTAACTTGCCAGAATGGGACGTCCCCGGACATGGTCTTCTCCAAGGCAAGGCCCTCAACAACGCCATCGCCTGGTGCTCATGCCTTGCCTTCCTCATGTTCGGATACGACCAAGGTGTCTTGTCTGGTGTCCTTACCCTTGGTGACTTTCAACGCCACTTCCCTCTCATGACATCTCGCGAGCGCCAGAACAACCTGTGCTGGCTCGATGCACCTACCAACACCGTACCCGACCCAAGCATGTGTACCGGTAGCCCGAGCATCCTCTCAGCTGCCGTTGCTGTATACCAGATTGGATGCTTCTTAGGCGCGATTCTCATCCTGTTCTACGGCGAGGTCTGGGGCAGGAAGAGCAGCAGCTTTTGGGGTAGTCTTGTCATGATCATTGGAACCGTGCTCCAGGTTGTGGCAGGAGGTATTAATGGTGGCAATGCCGGAGCATATGCCGTGCTTTGCATTGGGCGCGTTGTAGGAGGAATCGGCAATGGCATGGTTACAGCGAGTAAGTCCAGTGCTGAGATTGTGACTTTTAGTGTGTGAGACTGACAATTATGCAGCAATTCCCACCTGGCAGTCTGAATGCGCGAAACCTGAACAGCGAGGCCGATTGATCATCACATCTGGAGCGGTCATTGTGGCCGGTGTCATGATCTCTTATTGGGTCACGTACGGATTTTATTTTGTACCTTCTGGCGAAAGCTACAGCTCGGTCCGCTGGAGGTTTCCAATCATGTTTCAGTCACTGTTCACTATTCTCGTCATGTACGTAAACCCTTCTCTGGTTATCTAGAGTGAGCTAACATTCTCTCAGGATTGGTCTTCTATTCCTACCAGATTCGCCACGTTGGCTGGTCATGCGTGGACGTCACACCGAAGCCCGCCACCTCCTTGCTCGTCTCGCAGGCGTACCTGTCGACTCTGAGGAGGTAGATACTGAACTTACGAATATCAAGGATGCGCTCGAAGCACAGAGCAAAGATGGCCCATTCAGGATGAAGGAACTCCTGCACAACGGCCCCAGTCAGAACCTTCGGCGTACACTGCTGGGCGTCGTGTCGCAATTCTTTCAGCAGATCAGTGGTATCAACCTCATTGTATTTCTGAATCACTTTCCAACTCACAGTGAAATGCTAACACTCCTCATGTAGACTTACTATGCTACCTACGTCTTCGAAAACTCGCTCGGATTTGGTCCGGACATGTCTCGTCTTCTATCTGCCTGCAACGGCACAGAGTACTTCCTCGCAGGTCTGATAGCGATTCCATTGATCGAACGCGTTGGCCGCCGGCGGCTCATGCTCTTTGGTGCCGCAGGTCAAATGGCCAGCATGGCCATCATGAGCGGCATGACATCCACGGCTACGGCAAACGAGTTTGGCGCGCCCGTTCTCGAGCCAAAATACGGCATTACAGCCGTCGTTTTCATGTTCGGCTTCAACACTTTCTTTGCCATTGGCTGGCTCGGCATGTCATGGCTGTACCCGGCTGAAATCACCAACCTGCGCATCCGCATCCAAGCCAACGCCCTCTCGACATGCTCAAATTGGATCTCCAACTTCCTCATTGTCATGATCACGCCGCCGGCTTTTGCCAACTTGTCGTACAACACCTACACTATGTTTGCCGTCTTCAACGCAGCGATTATCCCTAGTGTCTACTTCTTCTTCCCGGAACCCAAGGGCCGCAGCCTCGAGGAGCTCGATGTCATTTTTGCTAGTGCAAACCAGCACGGTATCAACCCGGTGAAGCAGGCAAAGAACATGCCCAAGCTGGTGGGCAGAGAGCTGGATGTCGAGATTGCGAGGTACTTTGGCGGCGATGTGGAAGAGGCTACCAGGAGGAGCAGTATACCTAGAGCTGAATGATGAACTAGAACTTTGGTAGGAGAGAAATGCGCCATGTAGAAGTGTGTAGATCAAGCGGTATGTACATGTTCAATGATGGCGCTTACAAATGCAAAGACACCTATACATACTCTTGCAGATTCCCCCCGTTGCACGTTCGGCCTGGCTTACTTGGGATGGTTGACTAAGATGTAATAGGCTAGCGCAGTCTGCTTTGCCTTCGGACTAAGACTCAGTCCACATCCGGTCAGTCTACCATATATCTCATTGGCACCCAAGAATAATACATCAAACCGGGATAATAACCTTTACACATTTGCGGGTTTTGGATCTGACCATCCGATTGACTCGTTGCGCGAGCAAGTATCCACTCACAAAGTACCTTGGTTCACTGTTTCTTGTCGCGACTAACAAAGGCATATCGCACAGGGACGGCCCGAGTGGGCACATTAGACCTATGCGACACAAACTGCGCCCCCAAAGACAAGATTCCCTTTTGAGATAGGCGATGCGCGGAGACGTACCGACTGCAGCTAGCGCTACACACTTTCTGTGCCGTTGCCGTGTGGAAGCCGCGGCCTTTTCCCTTCTTCCGCATCCGCCCAACGCACTGGACGACTCTAAACCCTGTACCAACACCCAGGACGACATGAGGAAGATGACGTCTACAAGCTTTGCTCGCATGACAGCAAGAACGACAAGCCTTGGCAATAGGCCTTGTTCCGCCGCTGTGCATAGCGAGCTGCTTGTTTGGGTAAAGCGCTAAGACGGTGAACGAGGTGTACCGGGAGCTTGTGCGGAGCAGATTCAACAATGCTAAAGAGCGAATTTGAACCTCACTTGGTTGCGACAAAGACAGAACGCAGCCTGGGCCAGCACGTCCAACGGCCGCAAGGCTGTACGACGGCCCTTGCTCCTGACGCAGGCGTTGGTGGCATTTTGATATGCGCCGGCATTGGTTGCACTACATTCGTCTCCTGGTGACGTACCGGCAATCCTAAGCGATGCTCCTAGCATTGTTCCCCAACACATAGCCCTAGGATCTTCAGAGACTTGTTATCCGCCCAATTGGAGCCTCCAGTCTCACTTTGCAGTTGCCTGTTTCAGATTAATCTCCTGTACGCCCTCACACAGATCGCGGCCGGCGCTCATGTACCCTGCCGCGGACACAGTGCTGGACCACGCGACGCAAAAAGGTGTGAGTACCTCGGGATATCGGTTCATATAATATTGCTTGGCTTTGGAGCACACCGGTGTATATAAGGAGGCCGAGAGAAGCCGTCATCTCGGCAAGCCGTTGCTTGAGTTTTGGTTCTTCTTCTCTTTGACAAGCTTCCCGTCATGGCACGCTTCACGCAAATCACCGCCATGTTGGCGGCTGCAACCCTCAGCAATGCCCGGGCGCCCTTCATCACGGAGCGTCAGGTCCCTGCTGACCCGACTGGCATTACGACCATCAAGTCTGCCCAAGGTGCTGAGATTCGGTACAAGCAACCGGGAAAGGCTGGCGTATGCGAAACCACCGAAGGTGTAGACGACTATGCCGGCTACATCAGTCTCAACCCTACGACCAACATGTTCTTTTGGTTTTTCGAGGCCCGTGAGAATCCGACTGAGAAGCCATTGGTGAGTTGGACCCATGTCTTAACCAGAGACTATATGTATCTCCCCTGCTAAACATGTGACCAGACACTTTGGTTGAACGGGGGACCAGGAAGTGACTCGCTCATTGGTCTTTTCCAAGAACACGGCCCTTGCAATGTCACCAAGGATTTGAAGACTCAATTGAACCCATACTCATGGAACGAGCGCAGCAATATGCTCTACCTCTCGCAGCCTGTGGGCGTAGGCTTTTCCTATGAGACGACCGAGACCGACGAGGACGGCCGTTACTCGCTTGTTGATCCCGACACTACAAACACTACCGATGCTGCAGCCATCGGTGCGTGGCACATTCTGCAGGCTTTCTTGGACCTCAGCCCAAAGCTGGACCCGGATATCACCAACTTCACCTTCAATCTGTGGACCGAGAGGTGAGAAACCTGAAACAATATTCTGTGGACACAGCTAAGAGATTGCATAGTTATGGAGGTCATTATGGCCCAGCTTTCTACAACTACTTCTACCAGCAAAACGAGAAGATCAAGAACGGCTCTGAAGCTGGTGTTGAGGTCCAGATGGACACACTTGGCATAATCAATGGTATCGTCGATGAGCAAATCCAGGCCCCCTACTACCCCGAGTTTGCCGTAAACAACACCTACGGCATCAAGGCTATCAACGACACAGTCTACACCTTCATGAAGAACGCCTTCTACATGCCAGGCGGCTGCAAGGAGCAGATTGATTACTGCAAGCAGTCTGACCGCACGACTGAAGATGGCTACCTGACCTGCTCATCCGCTACTAACCTTTGTAGATCACTGGTTGAGGAGCCATACTATGTGTTTGGCGGCCGAGGCGTATACGACATCCGGCACCCCTACGATGACCCCACGCCACAGGACTACTTCGTAGACTTTCTGAACCTCGCGTCGACTCAGGAAGCCATTGGCGTAAACATCAACTACACCAGCACCAACGCGCGCAACGTGTCTCGCGGGTTCCAGCAAACCGGCGATTTTGTCTTCCCCAACTTCATCGAGGACCTCGAGGAGATTCTCGCCTACGGCGTCCGCGTCGCGCTCCTCTACGGCGACGCAGACTACATCTGCAACTGGTTCGGCGGCGAAGCCATCTCGCTCGCCGTCAACTTCACAGGCGCCGCTGCCTTCCGCGCCGCGGGCTACACGCCCTTCCTCGTCGACGGCATCGAGTACGGCGAGGTCCGTGAATACGGAAACTTCTCCTTCACCAGGATATACGAGGCCGGCCACGAGGTCCCTTATTACCAGCCTGAAGCCAGTCTCGAGCACTTCAAGCGCGTGCTGGATCATGTGGTTATTGCAGATGGAAGCATGGTTGTTACCAAGGATTATGCTACCAATGGAACGGCTGAGTCGACGCATACCGAGCCGTATGTTCCGCTGCCGTCGCCTACGAGTTCTGCGGGTGCGGTGAGGAGGAGGAGGAGGAGGTTGGTTTGATGGCGCGGTAGGAGTGCGCTCGAGTGATGTACATCCTTGTGTTGGTAGTGTGCTTTGCCGCACCAACTTAATTAATAAATGAAATTGCTATACACATCTATTGTTCACGTGGATGCGGCCATGCAGATAGAAGCTGAATCTTTTGTCATTGAATAGACAGAATATTCGTTGCAGCCGGTGATGCAGTGACTGGACTGCGACAACGTAGTTCTTCGAGACAAGAAATATGTGTGATAATCAAAAGTCACCGATTGAGAGTAAATCAATCTAGTTCATTTTTTTTGTTTGTTCATTCTTCTGTGCATCATTCCAAGAACAGTAGCTAAACCCGCACATCATTAATCGTCCCTCAAGCTTCTCAGGCGCCTACCCACCCCCCCTGCAGTATCCACAGTATACCCACTCACTCATGAATTCATGCACAAAATCTCCTTCTCTCTCTATATATATCTCTCACCGCCTAAAAGCACCTAAACACAATCTATCAGTATACAGCTTCTTCGAAGAAACCCACGTAGGTAATCTGGATGCGGGAAAGGAGGGGGGGGGGATAAGAACTTACGGGTGGCGCTTGTGACCCGTAATGCTGCTAATGCACTCCGGAGGCCAGTCGACGCCTCCATTGCAGTAGTCAGGGCAAGATCCTGGGCCATCGCGGCTTCTGGTTACCTGTGTGTGGGGATCAGCTGTTGGTTTGCGATAGGGGGGATGAGGTGGGGTGACGGCGGGGTGAGTGTGTTTTTTCCAAGTTGAAGTTGGGGGGATTAGGGGGGGGTTGAAAACATACACAGCAGTGCGCTCCGTCCGAGTACTTGCACTGGTAGTAGCCCACGCAGGCCTCTGCCGATGCGAAGAGAGCGAGGAGGCTCGCGGCGATGGAGATGAGGCGGACCATGTTTCTTTTTTTTCCTTCTTTTCTTCTGGCGGGATGAGTGCGGGTTTTCCTAAGGTGGGAGCTGTGATGCTGGATGCTGGATACCAAAGAATGGACATGGCGTTTGCTTTTATAACTAAGAGCATGGATTTGTTTGGACTGTCAAACATATCATGGTTATCATTCTTCTCCGGCCAACATTCCGAGCCTCTTGTCGTGGGGTCTAGGCAATTCTTGGCTGTTGCGGCGTGTATCTATCTAATTCGCGCTGTCTTGATAGCCTGTGCTTTTTTCTTTTTGCTTCTGGATGCTGCGATTCCCTTACCACACGCTGCCATACTAATTCCATCTCACTAGATCAATAAAATAGAAGTTTGAAACCATTCAGTGCGAAGTTGAGAGTTCCATGGGTCAATTGCATGTTTCTCTCTTCCTTTTTCATTCAGATGTACAGTAGATTTAGCCTTGATAGACCAATTCAACTTGTCAAGACCCTTTATTCTTGGGGCGTTCTAGCAGACCCAGAATTTCCTTCCACAGCAGAATATCGGCTAGGGCCACGGTGCAATTCGGGGCTATTGCTACTCATGAGGGTGGACCAAAACTCCACATTCCACACGGGCCGAAATCTCAGGAAAATTAACAACGCAAGTCTGAACCTCTTTATCCTCTTAACTCCTGATTTTTCTTTCGCGGTCAACTCTGCGTTTAGAGATAGTGAGATGGATTGTTTTTTCCTTTGATATGTAGGTAAGATGGTATGTTGAAATAGAGTATGTAAGAAAGTAGTGTTCTTACTGGCGTCATGTACTAGACCACATTAAGTCTCGGCGATTTTATCCGCCGGCTGCTGTTCTGCGCTGTTTTCAGACTGTTGGGTTAGACTACTACGGCGTGAAGCCAAGACGACTGTGCGAAGCCAAGATGATAGCACTGGCTTGGCTGGCGACTTATACTACAAGTTAGCCGTGGCATGTATGTTATTATGATAGATAGGATAAGTATGCATAATAGAGTTGCCCGCCGAGGATACTCTGGTAGTAAAAAATGCTGGGACAGCGTATTATATATGTACGGCAAGAATGCCATTAGTGAATGATGATACATATGGATATCTATTGTATGCCTGTCATTCAGCGCCATTGTCGCAACGTAATTTGTGACGCGTTACGAGCCCGTGCTATGATAGAGACTGTCGATCAAGGGTCCAGCGGGTATCATGACCTTAAAGTGGACTCAATTCGGGCAGATGTGCAAATTCTCTTGTAATCTCAGGAAACTTGAGCGAGTGCGCTGCACTGGGACTCCTAAATGGAATAGGAGGCAGTTCATGTTGGAGCACAATACTATCAGAGTATCAAAGGCGCGGGCTGGAACAGTGTCGCGGCACAATACACGAGCTAAGACAGAAGCATCAAAATCGTGGCCAAAAACAATTGTAATGCAGCATTGCTCGAGGTGGTAACCTCCGGTCCCTGAGTTAAATTCATGTCCCCTGCCAAGGTGCCATCATTGTGGCACAATGCACAACTTAAGAAGAGACCAGTAATAAGTATCAGCATTCCTAAATCTCATGACGGTGCTGAAAAGGGGTGCAGTTTGAGCTGCTATCCTGTTATTCTGGCTGCTCTAGCTGCTCTGATATTCGTCATACACACTTATAACGAGGCAGTCTGGCGCAAATGCCTTGAGAAAGATATTTCTATGATCCTAGTAACTATTAGATACATAATAGCAAAGCTTCTTAGAGCTTACAAGTGTATCAATTCTATCTTGGGATGGAAAATTTACTATGTATTAAACACATTACTGAACTATAACAAGGAACGGAGTTTGACATCCAGCTGAAGCTGTAATAGACGAATATATCTGACGATAAGGGGGCACTTCTGTGATGTATTTTGGTATGTAGGGGCAGGTATGTCGGTATGGTGTTGATTGAGAGTTCTTAGGCTCTTACCTAGGATTTAAGTCTAGACCACATATACATTTTGTATCCAGCTTGGCCACTTCACTGCTTTAGAGAATTCCAAATCGGTCTCTGGATATATTTTCCTGTGTTAGAGTGTCGTGACAAACTCTAGATAGGTATCAAGTTTAAGTTTTATCTTGAAATATAATACTCAGGTCGAATAGAAAGTACATTGGATCCAATAAACCTTATAGATAAGATAACACAAAAAGGTAGCGGCCTCGGTATATCTGGTACTCTACGGTCTGAATATTACCTAATCATGTAAGCGGAAAGCTAGCATTTTTAGATAGGAAGTGGGAGTTTCCGCCTGAAATACAACATTCAAAGCTAACAAAAGTATAATATCAGCAATGAAGTTATGCGAGATGTCCTCGCTTTATTAAGACTTCTAGCTCACGACAGGCCAAGGTAAGGATTTCTAGGGGATGAGGATAATCTAAATAACATAACGTTTCTACAGACCTTTACACACCCCTAGTCAAACACAGGTAATGGGAATTCGAATATTATAAGACTGCCCTCCTTATCACAACAAAAGCTTTCATGGATGTTGTAGGGCCGTTGTACCTTTTAGGCTTATGCACTTTATGCGTTGTCTTGCTTATCAGCCTATGTGATAGAGCGGAGGTGTAGGATTATTCTACCCTCTAGATTAATGCACGTCATACGTCCTCCTGCTTATTAGTATACAAGCTAGGACGGAGGTTGTAGGGCCGTCCAACTTTTAGATTTAGAAATATTTTAGCGTCCTCCTGCTTATTAGCATACAGACTAGAATGTCCATTATAGCTGCTTTCTGTCTTCTAGCTTTATGAAATAGTAAATAAATTTAATACCAATCCCTTCTAGTTAAGCCACTTCTGATTTTGGTACTAGGTCGAAGCTTGCTGAGGTGTTTAATTGTTAGCTGCTCACTTATTCTAGGTACTGAAATCAAGTACTAAGCTTTAACATAGCGTTGCATTGAGTCACGGTGTGAATATAATGAGTGAGAATGTTAGTGGGGTCTTTTTCCTAGATTAGTACGGAGTTGCTCTATTAAGTTTCGTTTCATGCCGTGGCAAGGGCTCTCAAACTCGTACAGCGGGACGGCAACCTCCGAGTGAACTTTAATACGTTGAACTAACGATTGTGGCTTTAATCACAGACGGCACGTTAAGACCTAATGATGCACTGAAGGCAGAGAACGAAGTAAACTTCCCTAGCAATGGAATGACATGCAAAAGTAAGATACGAGGTCAGCTGCGTTTGTCCCACTATGAGTTATGACTTGTATTCTTCCATACTGTGAGTTTTTAAGTCCCTCATTGTAAGTATAAAGCTATGTCAAGATCTCTATCCCTTAGTTCATTCTTTCAAGAAGACGAGAACACCTTCACTTAACTAGTTACTACAAGTTTTCACAACATGATGAAGAACCTCATCACCTTGCTGTGGCTCAGTGTGACTGTTATCGTCGCCAATCCTATCATTGCTAATGGTATATCCAAGCGGGACGCCGGGCTCTTTGAGCGTGAAACTGATGCATATTGCGGATTGCTTTGGGGTATCGAAAACTTTGCAAAATCTGAGTTTGTTTTGCTACTAACAATACCCTCAGATCCCTGTGCTCAAAAACCGGTGGATACTTGCTGTCCTGATTATAGATGTACAAAATACTCCTGCCATATCTTCGCGACTTGCCTTCATTGTGAATTCTTCGGGAAGAAAGATTCAGTAAGTCATTCCCGTATCAAATCATCTTCACATAACTCACTAAGCAATCGAACCAGGTATCCGATGGCTCCCAATAGTCACTTTAGATAGTATATTTTTTTTTTCGAAAGTCACCGCTGTTAAGGCACAAAATCATAACACCCTTGCCCGTCACCCAGCCAACACAGCTTCCGGCCAACCCGTGCTGAAGCAGTGGCACTTGCGATGTGTTTTTAGAGATGCTGTCCCTATGCATACAGTTTATCGAATGTCTCAAGTCTTGTACTCTTACGCATTATATAGTACATTGGAAGCTAAAATGAATGTCTATCGCATTATATTCGTGTGACACCGTGCTTTCTCAAGTGCCGTCAGCTTTTGCAGGCCTTCATCGCGTATCCCACGCTGGATCTTGTTCTGTGATACTTCTATAGGGCTATTGATACTAGGCTGATATCTACACGCGTGTGTAAGGTTGTCGTACTCGATGTTTGGATTTCTGTTTAACTCACCTAATAGCCGGCGATTATTATAGCTGGTGAATTTTGGCTTAGCGCCTATCCGAGGTAGCAACGGTCTAGATTGATGAACAATATAGTGATAAGCAGTAAAAATCAGAACACTGAAGTAATAATTAGATTCGTAACCTCTAGTTCCTATGCTAAGTATTATAGCCCTCTACTGAAGCGCTTTAACCCATCATGCCAGACTATGATAGCCATGCCCTACCAGGGAAGTCTATAATAGCACTCCACCAGGTGCTGGAGATATTGAACAGTGCGTGAATATGACTGGATCAACTAAGTAAGCTATTGATGCCTACATAGTGATCCCGAGAAACTATAGTGACACATCCAATTGCGTATTCAGCGTAGACATGATATGGATTCGTGTAGCACTCTTAAGCTAATTTCCTTTGCAGCTACAAGAATTCCGTTAGTTTGTACTCTATAAGGTAGATTGAAGAGGAAGTGACACACGGATGGCGAGAGTTGCCAGTTATCTGACCAATGCACTCTGGGGGCCAATCAGCGCCTCCAGAGCAGTACTGGGGGCAAGAATCCGGTCCCGACGAGCTGTCAACAACCTGTTCAAGGTAATCAGTGATGACAATCGCAACATACGAAGCAGGCATTTAAAGTGAAAACGTACACAGCAGTGGGATCCATCCGAGTTTTTGCACTGGTACCAGCCCGAGCAGGCTTCTGCAGCGGTAAAGAGGGCGAGGAAGCCAGTAGCGATAGAAAGCAGGCGGACCATCTTGATTCTAGGAGATTGGAGTTGTAACGAAAAGTTATGGAAAGAGTTTTGAGAAGAGTGCTGATTGAGAGATGTAGGAAGGTGGAGTGGTGACTGTTGAGTATGAGTGCGACACAGGATGGAAAGTCATCCTTTTATAATTGAAAATATCATACTTTAAGCAAGGTTCAAGATGGTAGCGACAACCGTCTTTTACTCACCCCCGAGCTTCAACGTGGCTTAGGCCAGTCCTTGGCGACACCGACGCTTGGCTATACCGAAGCTTGGCTGTTGCTAGCTTTTGGAGCAACGAGTTATCATACTAGCGTTTAGTAAACGGCCGAACATCCGGTCGTGTGTTCTTAGTATCGAAGCAATGTAGACGCTAGAGCAGACGTTGTATAGGTAAAGGAACTTGTTTAGATTTGGTACATTGGTTTTCTTAATCATCAATTCACATAGCACTACTTAACAGATATCAAGTAATATTGTTCTACCTAGAGCCGTGATTGAAGCTATAGAAATATCCTAATAAGTTCAGGCATTTCTTTGAACGCACAATCCTGCCGAAGTCTCGGTGAGATTCGGGCTATTGTGAGTCCGTGCTATGGTTCAAGCTGTAATTATTTTGCTCAACACGAATGGAACACGCTATTTCTTACCTAGAATGAAATGATCAGAACCTTCTATTACTTTCCACTTCTCGGTTTTGAAAATGAATTCAGCTGATATTGATTTGATTGTACATTGTTTACCATGATTGTGCTTATGTTGAACAAGTCGTCACTCGTGTAATGTGTAATTTCTAATAAAAGAGGAGTTGCAATCGAGAGACAACACTGTCTTGCTTCTGTAGCAGATACATGATTTAGCTAATGCGTCTTCTACGTACAAGCCAAGGTACTGTACTCCAAGGTATCCTCATCATAAGGGTAAAGCTCTGCCTCGTATTGGTGCGATCTTCGAATTCGGCTCGTCGGATCGGTGATATAGGCGTACTTGACGTTATGAGCACACAGTAATACGCTACATGCGAAGATTACCCACCATACTTTCTCTACTGTGACTAGATTTGAAACAATAACAACTACCATCGAGGTTTTCTATTACCTAATGTAAACCCTTGTTTTATATAGGAGGTGCCTTAGTGGACACGCCTAGGCCACTTCTCTTGCATGAAGTATCGCCGAATATTCCCTATCTTGCCACCTTCACAGGTACATCCAATCCTTTTGCTACTCTCTACTGGTATTTCAGGTTCCAGTAAAAGATGTATCGCAGAGGGGAAACCCCAATTCTCTGGACTCTTCGGTAAGGGGGTATATATTCTGCGACAAGATGGCAACGGACTATCATGACTAGAAGCACTTGTAACACTCTCCTTTGTCCCTATACAAGAAGCTACTAGCGGCAAATTTTAATATACAGCTAAAGCTTCAATAATTTGACCGAAAACCAAGATGTCTGGTGGGCTTGGCGTTCGGGACTGCCAAGGCTCCGCTCGCCAAGATAACTCTTCTTCCATCGTTCGGCCTTATTCTATTTAACCTGTTCGTTAAGCCAATGAAAGGTAGAAGCTTGCTATTTTGTGGACGTACTATTATTCAGAGATACCCACTTCATTTTGAAGGAGAAAATCACAAGATATTATTAGTCAAAGATAGCCTGGTCAATTCGTGTCGAGAAAATCTCAAAACGGCAACCGAATCCGGTTTTCTCTTCAACTTGCCCCTGAATCGGTGAACGAAACGCAAAAGAGAGCTCAACTGAACATGCAGTAATGATTAGAGCTTGTCTGGTATGCGCATAGGAAGTCAGCGAGGTGCAAAGACGACAAACACCAGTTACGCTCATTTGAAGACTGCCAATTTCGAGGATAATCTAGCATTGATTTCTACGCAGCACCTCGCAAGTCTAGGATTCTAGAACGATACAACAAGATTGCTTCGGCGTGGCTGAGCATGCAGCTGGACGGCCCTTTTGATGGCAGTAGAATTGCAGTCCACGTCATAGTGTAAGAGAGAATCCACCAAGTACCGCCTAGATTCCGAAAACGACATGAGAACTAAACAAGTAAATCAACCCGAATGGACTTAGCCGTTCACACTGCTAAATGGAATGGAAACCGCCTCATCATCTCAGATTCCCTCTCAGCTTTCCTCGCCTAAACACTGCTCAGTACCTTGCCGAAAATTCCGATATATAGGGCGATACGCCACCGCTGCCGCCACTGCGATTCATAAGATACACTCCCCTGAACATCACATGGAAATCTCTTCCCCAGCCAACCCAGCCCTTAACCAGCCAAAAATTTCCCTTAACATGTCACATATCGCACTTAGCCGCCCAAGCCTCTGAAATCGCAATGGCGTACCTAAACACCTGCGTCGGCACTAGCTCATGGAAACTCCCCGCATTCCACCGCAGCGCCTGGCTACTACCAAGAAATGGCAGGGTGGCATTTTGCCCAGCACTGCATCCACACACCAAGCCCTCGATCCCTGCAGCCCGCAAATTGCGACACTGCCTCGTGGAAGCGCCTGAACTTCCACTTCGAAGCCGCGCCCGAAACCCAGCGTGAAGCCATGTTTTGATGCTGGAGACTCAAATAAAACCAACGGTAGTATGTGATTGGTACGTATCTCTCTACCCAGAGGTAGAACGATAGGCACGCTGGAGCTGGGATCAAATAAAAACAACAGCATGTATTTGCATTGTATCCTTCCACTCAGGACAAGGGCAATAAGCATGACACCCCCGCCACTGGAGACAAACAGGGTCCCAGCACAGGTGAGCCTTAAGTAAGCCATTCAATCATGAATGAGCCAGCACAGCCATTTCTGTCTGGCGCGTGCCGAGCGTCGAATCGCAACGACTTGTTTCGTGGTAACGCGTTAGCGGCGGCGGGAACAACTGGCTCAGGCTGTCCGATATCCGAGGGTAGTCAGTGGGAGTAGTCTGTTTCTCGTGTGCGTCTGTGTGTATGTGCCTGGGACATGGGGTTTCTGGAGGGGGACAGGGGGTGTGGCCCACTTTGAGTGTGTCCTGTGCTATAGCGCTTGGGTGATGAGGTGTAGCGGCTTAGCAAATGACTATGTTATCACTTGGCCTAGAGACTGGAGGTTACTACTATCATTATGACTATAAAATCCTTATCTCTACTACCCATTACTACATCCTGCTTAGTTTCTGCATTATGCCAGGGCATACTGGGCGTAGGTCTAACCGGCGGTAGGCGAGGGCGAGCGGGGAGAATGGTAATTGGAAAATGGATGATTTGAGTTACACTCATCTTGAAGGTATGCTTGGATGCTAAGGCTGGTTGAATGTCTTGGGTGTTATCTCACGGTCGTACTCTCAACTCTTAGGTTCTAATACGCTGCTCTGCTACATCCATGGTGTAGTAAGTTAAGCTTCAGCTCAGGAGGGGAGGGGGTTCGATAACGGCATATTCCGGAGTACGGTGGGATTTGTAATCCAGGTTTCTTAGGCACCTGTGCTGGGTATGTAGAAAGGTTCAGCATGGACGACAAGTAAGTGTGTGGCTTGACCATGACTACTCCGACTCTTTGCACCCAGCTCTCCGGGTCCTCCTCATTTGTGGCGCGGTGCATACGTGAGTCGCTTCATCCAGGCACGTGTGTGACGCTGTGATTGCTTCACGCTTCCGCTGCTCTGGTAAAAAAGTCAGTGCACGTATAGAATACCGTTCTCAAACCGGCTGCCGACTGTGAGTAGCATTGAGGATTAGCGTCCCACTTCTCGACACGTCGCATGCCGTTCCCACTCGGCTGCTGCATAACTTTGGTGGAGACAGGCGAATCTCGAGGGGGACGCGGGGAGACCGACCAGATATGGATGCATACATGGGGGCGCGAGAGCCGCGGAGTGGCTAATCCCCAAGGGGAACTACATCCTTTGTCCTAAAAGCAACGTCATGTGTGGTGACGTCATCTAGTGGTGGCAAATGTGCATGCATTTCAATTTGGAAGAAGAAATGCGGTCCTGTGCCAAATGACTCGAGGATGGTAATGTTACATTGTGTGAACGACTCGCATTCTCTATGTCTACATTGCGTGGCGTCGTTACAGAAAAAGAAAACTAGCGCCGAATAATGTCAAGCCCAAACTCCCATGGAAATGCATGACTCGCTTGCTGCACAAAGAATAATAACAAAGTTTTCGCTCCAGCTGTCATCGTCGGCTTTTCGCACGCCAAGTGCCTTGTGTGAGCCCAACCCAAGCCTCATTTAGAAACTGAACAGTCCTGACCTCCTCTTGCCGAGTGGATACACAATAAGTGCCGCTAAAAACAGACCAACAGTGATGCCGATTGCAATCTGCACGACAGAGAAACCCACGTCGAGTGCGATAGAGTTGATGCTAGCGTTCCCGAGATTCGCACCATTGATCGTCGTTGCATTTCCCGTGCTGTTGTGCACGATTTGATCGGCCGAAGTTAGACCAGACACAAGTGAGCCTTGCACACTGAGGCCAGAAGGCACTTGAACAAAAATGGCCGGTAGCATGGCAGCAGCCGCCAGCCCATAGCCGATTTTGCGGACATGAGGCGTGAAGTCGCTGATGGAGCTGGCTCGTGAGGTAGGGTCACTACCCGTGCGCGTAGGGTCGTAGGCTGAACGCTCAACCTTGGGGGTGCGAAGTATACCAGTGTTCTTTTTGCGATAGATTTTGCGCCACTTCACAAGGTGAGGGCGCATCTTGAACTCCCATGTGTCCAGACACCAGTTTTCAACGTGGCGGCCAAAGCGAGCATGTACATTGGCAGCAATTCCAATGGCGAGAGCGCCAAGCGTGTTGCTGACTTGCGCACTGCTCTTAAAGTACTTGGAGCTGTGGAAATTGACTACCCAGCCGATGAATGCAATCACAGTCATCGAAGGCATCTGCTTGTACTTTGCTTGGTTGACAATTTGCAGGCAGATTGCAAAGGCCGGAACGAAGAGATAGTAAAAGTTGGTCGACATGGGGTCGTGGCACGTAGTACGTGAGGTTGCGTTCTTGTCCATCATGCCGTACAAGACTGTGCCGATGGTGATGCCGAATCCCAGGAAGAGAGAGTAGATGATTGCGTAAACCATGCGAACAGAGCCTGCAACGATGTGCTTACTCTGGAGTTCCAACGAAGCACAGAGAACCATGAAACCGGGCAGGATGAGGGCAATACTGGACTGCGCCATGGCACTAAAGCAAAAAATCTCCTTGCCGTCGTGGCGGATGGACCCGAGCGCTCGAGCCGCAAAGCTAGTGATGACTGACGCGCCAATCTCGAAGACGTTGCTGATAAGGTCATTGCCTGGAGCGACGACAAGTTGCAACCATCCGATGATGCAGCCTAGCAGGAAGCAAAAGGGCAGATCGATGAATCGAGCCTGAAAGGCAAATGGACCGACAGTGGCAGATGCCAAACCGTACATTGGCACTCTGAGCCACCTGTTGAACTTGGGCTTGCGAGTCATTATGGCATCGAGACGCGGTGTGGCTTCTTCTACACCAATGCGATCGTGAACGACATCCTTGTAGATCTCGTGGACGTCGCGTAGTTTGCCCAGATCGACGCCCTGACTTGTACGCACAAGCTTTACCTCGCTAGTGTGAACCGAGGAATCATCAAAGGCAATAATCATGCAGCCCGGCATGTATAAGAACTGCGCTTCAATCTCCAGAACACGGGCAGACATGCTGAGATACTCTTCGAGACGATGTGTAGGCGCACCATACATCATCAGTGCCTTGCAGAGCTTGCGGAGATAGTTCTGACGTGCCAGAGTACCAGCAAGATGAATCTTGATCCTTATCTCCTCCTCCCTCCTCCTGGCCTTTTTGAAGGGCAGTATAGAATCGTCGGATTTGGACCGCTTGCCCATGCCGGGGCGGGCTTTCTTGTACTGTTCGTCGAGTTCTTGGCCGAGCTCTTTCTGGGCTGGTGTAGCAAAGCTGTGCGCAGACGATCCAACCAACTGTGACACAGATGTGGCAGATTGGTTGCGGTGGTGGTTTCGGAACCATGAGCGACTCCCACGCGGAGTGGAGTATCCGGAGACAGGCGGTGATGGGTTCGGGGAGTTTGCTGCTGTCGACACTCCGCTGAACGTGCCGGTGCTCACTGACCGATGGAGAGTATTCTTGCGTGCCGAAGGAGCTGCCGCATGACTTGACATCTTCATGAGAGTACCAAGCACTCCTGTCCGGTACTTGGTCGGACGATCAACCCGCTCGTCCTCGACCTCGATTGCATCTGGTGTGACTTGCCCAGACTGAAGCGGTGCTTGAGTGTGATAAAGATCTTCGGCGCTCAGAGGAGGAAGACCGTTAGCTTCTCGAATGGTGTGTTGGCGAAGAATCATGGATGCGCGCTTCATGAAGCGAGGGTCATCTTCATCATCATCAGTGGTTTCCCCTATAGACTCATGCTGTTGAGACAAGCCCAGAAGCTCTACAGGCGGTGAGATGAGCTCTTTGGAGTTACGCCTTGATGCTGGAGCTGAGTATGTCCCGACTGACTTGGATAGTCTTGTTGCGCGGCGTTGGGCAGCCAGACCAGATCGTTCTTTGAGGTCTTGTCCAACAGAAGGCTGTCTGGATGATGTGTCATCGTCAAAGGTATTGGGTTGATCGTTGAGGTAGAACTCCGGCGGTGGGGTGCGGGGACCGGCTTTTCGAATAGCTGGGCGTGGCTTCTGTACATCCTTTGATGTAGTAGGTTCCTGTATGACTTCTTCGGGAAGATTTTCGTCTCCAAGAGCTAAGCGTAGTGAAGCCCGAATCTTCTGCAGGTCGTCATGTGATACGTCTGAGCGTTCGAGGGGAGTGTTGTGACCTGCGGAGCCGGTGTCTTCGGGCGATTGAACGGAACGGCTGGCAGAAGGTTCTGAGCTCCAGCCAACACGCTTTCTTCCCGGAGTGGCAGACATGAGTTCCTCCAAGTCGTGGTGGTTCTGACGAGAAGGGCTTGGATCCTGAAAGGGGTCCATGCTGTTTTGTATGGCTTGGGCACTATCGTGAGACTAGTTGGGCACCTCAGGACGGACCACTCGAGTCGTAGCCATCTGAAACGCGCCGAGTGCCGTGATTAGACACAGATAACCTTGCGCCGATTGACTTAATGCCCGGACACTAGGATTTCGGGGGTTCTCAATAGGCACCCTGAGGTCCAGAACCGTTCATGCGTCTGGCCGTGGATCTTCAGTGTAGCGCGCGTGGTTTCAAGGAAGGCGCGGGTATCAGTGGATAACAAGACAGATAGGCTCCGCCGCTCGTGCTTGAGTTGTTGGGGATATGCTCGGTAAAGCCCGATTTGTAAAACAGATGTAAGGATGTGATGTGTTTGCCCTGGTAAAGGAGCTCGCAGGAAAAAGTAGCCCCTTCGAAGCTATGTGGGATTGATAAGAGCCACTAGCGCGGGGGGGCAGACGGCATGCGTAAAATGGTGACGCTGACAGGCTGGAAAGTTCTCAGTCTGTAGTGGCGGACAGACCCAATTTTTCTTGTCGAAGCACACCGGCCAGAATGTTCGGTGTTGGGTTGAGGAGCTTAACAATAGTATAGTGGAGTTTAGTCTTGCAGGGGACGTGGAACTTCGGGAGCACCAAGATCGCGACAGGCACCGCAACCGCAGCCCACGACCAAGACCCTTGAACATTGCAGCGGGAGTGACTGGACCGGCGTTAAATTATTTTAGTGCAGCCGAGACGGAGCACGGGTTCCAGGAGCCGCAGCCGTGTTGATAAGTGTAAGATTAGCTGTTGTGGCAACGCACGAAGAAAAATTCCATGGCCGCCCAAACACTGCTTGTGAGCAATTTCAAAGCCATGTCTGAGCCCGGGTGCAGGATTGCACAAATGCTGTTAAGACTCTTGGACTGACGACACCGGACGGAGCGCGGATGCCGCAATGGCCAGGATTTGCGGCCCTCTATACCAAGGTGGGCAGTCGGCGCAACAGAAAAGTGGACTCGTTGTGCCAAAGCTTGGGAGGCCGAGAGAGGAAAACCGAGATAAGGAGACTGTGGGTATAACTGGGGCGTCCAAGCCTGGCTGTGATCTTCTGCCCAATGGTGACAAATTTAGGGGTATCGTGAGAGAGCGCTTCCAGGCGCCGTGAACAATTCAGTGGAGCCTTAATGCCGTGCCATCGATCGAGAACCTGCCCTGGTCGTGCTTGTCACAGCACAGTCCCCAGTTTGGGCGGCAAAGGGCGAGGAGAAGAGAAACATGTTGAGGGCCATGGGTCAGAGATACGAACATTAGTCGAGGTATGGCGTTGTGCGGCTAACGGTGGTTTGGAAAGGTGGCAAGCAGAGGCTGAAAAATCCCTGGCCTGGAAAGCTTGTTTGTGCGAAGCGGCGCCGGGAGCCCCTGCGCATCCCAACAGCCGTCGTGGCTACGCAGAGATCGGAGCGGATGTTTCGGCGGCACTCCGATCTTCTGTCACATGCTGAAGAGCATGATTACGACGCGTCGAGTGCGAAGACAGGCCACGGTGACGTCGGCTGGGTGAAGAGGCGGGCGCCGGATTGCTATGCTGCATGGCTGGATGCTTTGTATAGTCGCCTGTCTCCACCGTGGTCGCAGCTGTCGGCGTCTCAGTAGGTAAGTAGTGCGTGTTGCCGGCCGTCGACTCTTTCGTCAGCGTGTTCGTAACGTGTTCTTTTCATAGCAACCCTGGTGCAAGGCGGTCAAGAGTCGGCTGCATACCGCGGCCAGAGCAGCGAAGAGTGACGCAGGTTCTTTGCACAACAAGACGACGACAAGACGCAAGCGCTGACCTTCACGCCAAAAGACTTGGCCCCCCTACGTCATACGTCGCTCCTTCCCCTTCTGCGTCTGGCATGACTCAGCTGGTCACGTGCATGCCGGTCATACAATGCACCGCTTCCGAGTGCCGTGTGGGGCCTCTCAAGATGTTCCCCGCACCTGCAGCGCAACTATTCAGCACATGGACACGGAGAAGTTTGGGGGCGGGGGAAGCCTCTGCCCCACCACGAGGGACGTGTAATTAAAGTATCGTGTGGCTTGCAGGTGTTGCTGCGGCACTCGCATCAAACGACACGAGACCATCACCATGCCCAAACTCAACCATGTACGTTCTGCGCCATCACAAGATCTTTTCTGTCCAGACATAACCTGTGCAGGTCGTCATCGCGGGCGCTGGCCCCTCTGGTCTATTGCTGGGCATCCTGCTCGCAAAGAACCTCGGCATCAAGGTCACCATACTGGATGCTGATACCAAGGTCAACGACAATCCTCGAGCCGCCCACTATGCGCCTTCCGCAGTATACGACTTCCACCGCGCTGGCATCATTAATGATGTGCGTGAAAAAGGATTTTCGCCCAAAGGTGTGTGCTGGCGCCTGAAAGACACGACGTTCTTGGGGGGTATGGGCCGAGAGCCAGAAGACTCGGAACACTCCATGGTTGTCCTACCATTAGACCAGCTCAACCCGCTGCTTGTCAAGCATTTCGAGAGTTACTCTGGCAACAAAATCCTGTGGACACACAGGTTGGTGGGTGTAGAACAAGACGAGAACGGCGCAACGGCATTAGTGGAGACGGCCCAAGGGGAGAAGAAGAGGATATCTGGTGACTACCTGGTCGGTGCGGACGGTGCTTCGAGTGGTGTTCGCACTGCATTGTTTGGCAAGGAGTATCCTGGAGAGACGCTGCCACAACAAATCATTGCCACCAATGTATGTCTACTGCAAATCTACCCACAAACCCTATACTAACATCGTAGGTCTACCTTCCCTTTGACGAGCGATTTGGGTTCTGGGACTCGAACTTCATAGTCCATCCAACAGACTGGTATATGGCTGCCAAGATCACAAAAGACGGGCTCTGGCGAGTGACTTACGGTGACTGGGACAATCTCTCCAAAGAAGAACTCATCAAGCGCCAGCCACTCCGCTTCGAGCAGATTCTTCCCGGAAATCCGAAGCCAAACGAATACAAGCTCATCAGTATGAGCCCTTACAAGCTCCAACAGAGGTGTGCCCCTAGCTTTAGAGTCGGAAAGATTGTACTGGTAGCTGATGCGGCGCATCTTTGTAACCCATTGTAAGTACTCCACTACCAAACTTGAAAAACGCGCTAATTCACTGATAGCGGCGGCATGGGCTTGACCGGTGGCTTTGCCGATGTCGGCTCCCTTTATGATTGCTTCATGGGCATACACCTCGACGAGCTGGACGAGTCTATCCTGGACCTCTACTCGGAGATTCGCACCAAAATTTGGCGCGAGATGATTGATCCACTGTCACGTGAAAATTTCCACCGTCTTTGGGACCCCGCGCACGAAGAGAAACGAAAGGAGTTCTTCAAAATATGCGACAAGGTAAACAACGACCCGGTGTGGGGCAAGTCTGTTACCGATGGCCTTTACCAAGTTAGGCATGACTTTACGCAATATTTTAAGAGCAAGCAGAAACAAGAAGGGAAGGGTATGGATAATCTAAGAACGGGTAATGGGGTGTTGGCCCAGAACAGTGCAGCTGCGTAGCGAATTGAGATGTGCTAGAGAGTACTCGTACTGCTTTTTTTCCATCCAAGTATCCACTCTTGGTCAATTTCATGTTTCAAATCATCCCATTTATTTGCCGGCCGACTTGAGCGCCGACTCCCAAGCCTGGAGTTTGATTCGTCGAACAATACATGTCCTCAACCGCTATATCAACGAATCAGAAACTGAGCAATATATGTACTGTCAGACATGCCAATATCCATGTCTCGCATGGATCGAATGACGTGCATATACGATTTCCCCGCACGATCGAGAAAGCAAAAGTAAGACATCGGTCTAGCCCGACTTTCCCGAGCCCCACATGCTTGACCCTGGACTAAGTTTTCAACTTGAGAAAAAAGGCATGGTCGCAGCACTTTATTCTTTGCAGAAGAGGGGGGTTGGGTAAGATTCTCCGTGCTGAATGAATTCTCGTTGCGAGTTGTTCAGTGCTGAGATGAGATGAATGGACTGGTAATTGAGGATTCAGTCGGGTGTAGGGGAGAGTAAGGTCATGTTGTACATGTCCTGTCTCACTGCTAAGATAAAGTGTCTATATCACCCCCGCATTGTTTTTCGGCTCCTTGTCCAATCTCTGGCCTTCCTTTGAACTAACTGCATTGTCATCTCATCACCCCATCACCCCCCTAAAGCCCAAATCCAGATGCAGATCGAGGTCCATATCAAGCTGGCACTGCACCAAGCCCCCCACATGATTCAACTGCCCCCGAAAACCCTCCGTAGAGCCACCCACAACAAGCCAGCTTACAAGAAACTCTTGGTCCGGCCTTGGGAGCCTGGTAGACCTAATTCAGAACCATATTCGCGCTGTTATTAGATAGTTCCAGTGTAACAGTTACCGCGACGCCGTGGAATATGCATCGGGGATGAATGTGCCAGAAACACTGAATACCGGCGTGGATGTCATGCGGTGATGTGGGGGAAATAGTGGACAGATTGAGTGTGGGCTGGTGGCAGTGTTCGGTTTAGGAAGAAATGTGTCCAGCGCATGGAACATCATCGTAGGACGGCGCCCAGAATACTGATGTGGATAGTGTATGTAGCAAGCACTATTTCTGGGGTTGAGTTCAGTCAACATGAGAGGACTTGATCAAACTTTATATTCGCGCATAATCAGCAAACTTATTTTGCAGGCCGCAAAGCTAATGCACGGATCAGAGTCGTCCTGATAGAAGCAACTTAGAAGCTCAATGAATGTTCATACAAGACTGCCACGTGAGTCAGGTGACGCTCTACGCGGGCGCGCGTTTGCACTTTCCTCTTGCAGCACTACGCGAAGCTTCGGCCTCCTCTCACTAGTCACTGTTGATAATTTACACACAACCGCAAAGCTCCAATTCTTCCCGAAAGCGCACAACTTCTAACCAGTCCACGATTGATGCGCATTACCTCGACAACTCATACATCGTCTCTACTATCAAAATGACGAGCCCACGCTCTGCTCTCACGAGTGATGAGGATCCCAACGACACCGAATATAGCGAGTGGCGAAAGAAAGCTCAAGAGTGAATTCCCCAGCTCACCATGATTGCTAGACTGACCGAGCGTAGGTTACACAACGAAATCCAAACTCTAGAGAAGGTTCATTTCGTTCAACGTGAAAAAGTCTCAGAAGCGAAGAAATTGCGTCCCAGGATGAAGCACATCCCAATGCACAAGGTATTGAGAAAAGCAAATGATAATCTTCGACTGGCTAAGACGACACTCGAAGACCATATCCAAGCCGAGGCCATCCGTAGCTGTCACTCACTCTGCGAAGCAGCCATTGAGAAGCTACCACAAGAGCTACGCGACATGATTACTGAATTTCTGGTCACCGATGAAGATGTGGCTTTCTTTATCGGCAAGGACAACAAGCTCAAGATCGCGCACGGCCTTGACAATCCCCAGCACTGCTACGACCCAGTGTACACTGGTTCCAACTTCCACACGGACATACTCAAGCAACTCGTGACGGGAACAAGATGCTTTCATTTTCGTTCCCGTCATGAGTTCCTGGAGATGTTCTTCGACGCGTACATTTGCAGCAACGAGTATGGCCATCTCGCTCTCAACACCAAGGTCACAAAGCTGAGCCTGGCGATATCGGAGAATTGTTTGAAGAACCGCGCGACGCTGCGAAGCAACCTTGAATATCTCTCCATATTTCCAGCACGAACTCTCTTGAACTTCATAATTCAGACCCCGTCTACTTTGGTTATTCGTCAATTGGCGCGTCAACTTAGGCACTTGGTGAATATCATCGGTCCGTGCACACTGCCTCTGCACAACAGCGGCTATGATGTCAACATGGTTATCAACCCCGAGTATCGCTCTTCCAACGTCAAAAACAACAGCGACAGTACCTTTTCATTCCCAGTCGTCGACAAATCAGAGGCTGTGATGAAGATTCGAGGTAACAAATTCGACGTGTGGTTATCCCATGAGCGGATTTTGTCCCTGGAACTTGATTAGGTTGTGACGGGGACTAGGTATACACTGCGTTGATATCTCACCCAGCTATTGCTGTATACGAGAAAGAAATCTGCCATCCTTTGAGGTGGCGTACGCACTTGAGAGTCATCAATGCGCCAAACCAGCATCGTTGCGATTTCGCAGTCAGCTACTTGGAAGCCGACCTGAATATGCGAGACGGAAAGGGAACCTTGCAACGAATGGCAATGCATACCAAAGTCAAATCGCAAGCAAGCAATCATTTTGTTTCCAGCAAAACCTGGAGAACTTTGTTTTTCCATACGATCAAGCCATGCGAAAGACAAGTATAGCAACCCACAAAAGGAAGCAAGTCATCTTTCCAAGTTGTCCAAAAGAACGATCGAAAGTGTCTGAGCGTTTGACTCAAAGTCCGGAAAGAAACAATTCAAGTATACTATCAATGCATCAGTACTATAACAATAATCCTACCCCCCCCCCTCCAACACCAGTGATGAAAAAAAATAATAATAATCATTTACCAAGTTACTATCCCTCCACCCGCTGACCGACTCTCGGCATGCCTACCTCGGCAATCCTCGCCCAAAACGCCACTAACTCAGCTACTTTGCACTAGGTGTACCCTCGACGCCACGCCACTCCACTCGACTACACTACACCAAACCCCCCATCCGCGCGTGACCAACCTCGCATATCTGATGTCTCACTTCGGCTGCACATGACTTTTTCCCCCTCCCACTCTTTCCCACAAGACTCCAAAGACCTCATATCCACCTACACCTAGTTAACCTAGAACCCAAGTTTTTTTTTCCAGCGCTTACAATGCACGTGGTATGCCAGTGATCCGGGTGGTGGCGCTGACCCTGCGTCCTTTTTTCTTCTTCTTCTCCTCCTGCATGCATGCATGCATGTATGGGACTAGGGGTTTAGCGCTGGTGTGTATTATATGTGTGCAGTGTGTGTGTGTGTGTGTGTGTATGTGTGTGGTACGAGCTAGGTGGAAAAAGAAAAGGAAAATTTCAAGAACGTGGTGGTGGCTGCGTGATACTGGTGGTGCAATGTACGGTGTGAGTTTCTTTTTTTTTCTTTCTTGTGTAGACTGGGAAAATGGGATGAGGGAATGCGAGAAGCAGCGGCGGCGGCGGCGGCGGTGGTGGTCATGGTGATGGCTGTGTAATTAATTGGCTTTGATGTTTATAATTTTTGATAACTTTTTTTTCCTTTGGAAGTTGTGATTTTGAGTCTGTTGGACTTTTTATTTTTCTTGTGGTTGAATTTGTGATGCTTTGTGTGGGATTGGAGTACTTCTGCGCTGAGTTCTGTGTGCGTTTTCACTCGGACATGCTGGGAGTATTTCGCTATCGTGAAGATTTCCCATCTGGAGCTTGAAGAGCCAGCTGCTGTTTTCCAAGGACGTGCTGTAAGCACAGTAGATGTAGGGTGCAAGAGGAATGACCAGGACCAAGCATCAGACGACGTAGCATGTCGTGGCATGGAAGTTTCAATCCAGAAATGATGACGGCTATAGAGCTACTCAAAACTACTCTAGTGGTGCGCAATGCAAATCAAGCTGATCATCAGCATATGCAAAATCTTACGATGACCAACATGGCACGTTGAGATTGACTGAAGGAAATAAGTGGCATGAGAAGAGTGAGAATGCGACGCTCTGCTGCAACCTACATATCGTACAACGTGATCTATGTTTCGTGTACATGGCTATTATACAAGGGAGTTATACGGTGGAGATGAACAGGGGCTTATGATGCCTTATCCGCAACCTTGGCAGTTTCAAGGCGGGAAGAGATGTGTGGCACGGTCGACGTCCTAGGAGCCTGAGGCTTCACGAGCTGGCGGAGAATGGCACGTCGCGGCAGGGTTATTCTGCTGAAAAGAACGACGGAGCCGGTCAATAGGGCCAGCGCTCCAGCCTGATGGGCAGAAGCCAGCCATGTGGGGACCATGTAGATGAGAGTACTAATACCCAGCGTGACCTGCAGAGCAACCAAATGGACCATGCCCTGAACGCCCTTGTGGGCTTCTTTGGGTAATGTGGTTCGCACACGCTTGGAAAAGCGGGTGTAGGCCAAAAGGCTCATGATGGCAGTAAAGGTGGTGGTGGCAAGGATGCGGTGGTCAAGCTGAACGAGAGAAGGGTTCTCGAGCATGTTGCGCCACCACAGGTCGGATTGGTCTGGCACGTGGCTGTAGAAGGGATCAAAAAGCTCCTTCCCAGGTGGGGCGAGACCCATTCCCATCCAAGGAAACTCGTTGTAGATCAGGCCCGCATCGAGCCCCGCAACCAGGGCGCCGGACATGGCTGTGATGAAGACAAGCAGAGTAAGGCCCACGACAGAACCCCTAAAGACGCGAAGAGCGGGGTGCTGCAGCGCTTTGATAGTTTCGGCAGCCTTTGCAGGGTCTGCGAGCATGCGGTGTTCCTTGAGAATGGACAGGCCAGTGAGCAGCATTGAGCAGTAGACGGCAAAGGCGGTCCCCAGGTGTGCAGTCAAGCGGTATTGGGAGACGCGAGGATGGCTGCCCGGCTCGAAGAGATCGTCCTTGAGCCCACTCTTGACCATCCACCAGCCGATGGCACCCTGGAAACCAATCATACCACAGATGCCAACCAGCTTCCATGCCATTGAGGGAGACACTTTGCGGCGGGCGATGAAGTAGGCAGTCGGGACGAGCATGTTGACGCCAATGACGCGACCCCAGAGGCGATGGGCCCATTCCATAAAGTAGATTTGCTTAAAGTCTGCAAGGTCCATGTTGGAGTTGAGCTGGGCGAACTCGGGCGACGCCTTGTACTTGTTGAACTCGCTCGCCCACTCGCCCTCGCTCATGGGCCACAGCGAGCCGGTGACGGGGCGCCATTCGGTGATACTCAGTCTGTGCCCGTTTAGCAGGTGCAATTGGGCGCAATGGCGGTCGCTCATGCCTACCCTGACTCGGTGAGGCGCGTCAGCCCGCCAAACACGACGATGCCAAAGACGCTGGCGGCACTGCCCAGCAGCCAGTATGCAACGCTCTTGGACGACGTCTTGGGGAAGCTGCTCGATGTGGCTGCTGTGGCAGTTGCAGCGCCGGCCGCTCCGCCCGTGGCTGCTCGCGACGCCTCGATGGTGGCGCTACTGCGGAGAGGCTGAGTTGATTTCCATCGTGCTGGGTTCACGGCGGATGACGGCCGGGATGAGCGTGCGGATGCGGGGAACGCAGCAGTAGCAATAGGCGCATTGCGGCATGTGCGGCACGGAAAGAGGCGGCGTGAGAGACGGGGCGCGGCGGCGCGCAGCTGGGGGAGCGCGCGGAAGATGGAAGCCATGGCGTTGGCGGGGGACAAGACAGGACAGCGAGCGAGCGAGCGAGAGAAAGAAAGAAAGAAAGCCGGCCGTCGTCATGGAGGCGAGGTTTGCGTGTCGGAGGTTGCCAGGCCCGGCCGAGCAGGCGCCAAGGCTGATCCCTGCATGCAGCGTTGACAGACGGAAGCGGCGACCCACTGCGCAGCGCCGCAACTGCATCACCGGACCCTCATCCAGCGACGATCGCCGTTTGCCAGCACTCCAAGCCGCCTGTGCCTGTGTGATGGGCCCAACCTCCATCCCCCCTCGTGACTTTGCCCTCCTGTCCTCGCCGCCCGCTACTTATGTGACGCCCGCCCGCCCGCCGCCGTCCAGCGAGCACACAACGACGCCGTTTCGCGTCGTCAGCCTCGCCGTGCGCCTGCTGCTACCCCGCCTGCCCTTCACCGCACGCACCGCCGCCAGCTGCGTCACGACGCCCAATGTCCACAGAGCCCGTGCTAGCATAGAATGGAATCCGCCCATCAGCCGCCTGCCGGCCACGGAAGCACCAGCACCAGCAGCAGCAACATGCTCCTCCATGATGAAACTCCACCCCCGGCTGACGGGCCATCTCGCAGCGACACGCGAGCATCCGGCGAGGGCGAGGCCGCAGAGAGCGCTGCTGGCTTGCGTAGCTCTCCACACGCCAGCCTCTTTTCGCCCCATGTGTCGTCCGACTCTGCTGGCCAGTCTTCGGCACCGCGTGCAGGCCATGCCAGAACGCTGAGCGGCTCCCGATCTATGCCCTCTCTTGCCAACCGTCCAGCCATGCCCAAGCGACCGTCGAGGCCCCAGGCCTCGGATGAGCGTACCCCTATTGTCCAGCTGCAGACGCAGATTGACCAGGCGCAGAAGAGCGCCGATGATCCCAATACTCCCCTGGAGGACACTGGCAAGAGGCGCACCACGCTGGACCTCATGCGCACAGAACATGCCTTTCGCACAGACATAAGCACTCTGTTCAGCGAGAGTGCGGCCATGTCAGCCTCGCGTGCACCATCGTACAACAACGCCACCGGCCCTCTGTATCTGCGAGGCAAGTCTTGATCTACACCATCACTGGCGCAATGCTAACTCTGCCAGCCTCGGCCGAATCCATACCCCTTCCCGACCATCTCTACTCCCGCGGATTGCTCGAGGGCCGCCACTCCGACATCACCATCATTGCCTTTAGCCAGCGGTACCCTCTGCATCGCCTGATTCTCGACCGTGCGCCTTTCTTTACCACTGCCCTTTCGGAGCCATGGCTCGAGAGCCAGTCCAAGGAGGTCGCTCTGCACCCGGAAGAGATTGACTCTAGCATCACGCAGGCCTCGTTTGAGCTCGCCATACGCAAACTCTATGGGGTGGATATCTCAAAGGAGTCGGATGCCGAGGCCGTCGGCCTGTTTGCGACGGGTTGCTGGCTGGAGATGCAGGACCTGATAGACTCGGCCATTGAGTCCATCCTTCGTCAAATGGCGCCAGAGACGCTTGCCTTTCTCATTCGGCTTGTTACGACCAACTACTACGGCCGCTCCGGTGATCGCATCCTTGAGTCGGCCAAGGCCATGCTCAGCAGGAACGGCTGGGAGATGCCCCTCAAGTACTGGGACGATATGCCAGGCGACATCATTCGCGAGCTTGTGGGTTCGGACGGCTTTTTTGTAGAGAGCGAATGGGACCGGTGGGTTCTCGCAAAGCGTCTCCTCGACCGTCGACTGCGACTGGCTGCGGTTGACGCTGGCCTGATACAGCGAGGGCAGAAGCCTGTCCCCCAAGCGCCCAATTCACTGCGCCTCATGGCTGTTCGCTTCGACGGTGTTTATCGGCAGAATGCACTGACTGCCACTCATTCGTCATCCGATGCGCAAGCCGACTGGCTCGCATTGTACACGTTACCCGATATTGAACGCATACTCGTGCTTTTAGATGAGGGTATCCACTACATCCACATGGAATACGAGCAGCTCGAGTTTATCAAGAATGCTCGCGATGTCTTTGGCCTCCCCGTCATGCCCGAGAGTGTCATTTCCAGCTCACTCTGGCAACAGCTCGCTCTTCGCCAAAAGGTGCTCAACACGGACGAAAACTCGCAGGAACTTGGACTATCTCAGTCCTTGCCTGAGCCCGAACCATTCAACGTAGCTACCAAGAGCGGAAGTGAATTGACTTCCAAAGGTCAGCACCCAGAGACCGCAATTGATGATGGTGACATGGAATCACAAAGCTGGGACTGCAATGGTAAACCGCGCAAGTTCTGGATCCCAAGCTCGGACTGTAACATTGTCCTCGGGAATGGCGCTGAACCTGTTGTTACTACTTCAAGCTCCTTCCAGCGCCATGTCTCACGCCTTTCGACTACCCTGCAGCCCGAAGATGCTCAATGGGCGACCGACTTTGCATCTACACCAGCAACCCTAACGAATCCCAACACACGCATGGACTTTCCACGGCGCCCAATATCCGCCGGTGGCGGTAATGCCGGACAGCCCAAGCCGATTGCTTATACAGAATTTCCGCCTTTCCGCTTCTCTGCCGAATTCCCGAACCCTCGCTTTCTCAAAGAAAAGAAGCGTGTGTATTCGCGTACGGTCTCGTATGCTGGGTCTCTCTGGAACATATACATTCAAAAAGTCCGCTCGGCCAAGAATATACAACTCGGTGTATATCTCCATCGTGCAAAAGAACGTGAGGTGGAGGAAGCTGTACAGTCTAGTAGTCTCAACCAGCAGAATGATGGCACAGTTGATGAACGCATTGGTCGCTTGGAACGAGAAATGCTAATGCGCAGCGATCCACGCGACCGAAGACGCAGCACCCGCGTTCCTTTTGTGGACCCAACGGCGGAGGACGACACCTCTGGAAGCGGCGGAGACCCTGACCCAACGCTTGGTTCTCCGGGCCTACACGGCTCCATGTTTACGGGTAGCACTCTTGGCTCACGGCGACGTGCTAACGTGTCGCGATTGACCTCGCATGGCCTTCAGTGGGGATTTCACAACATGACATCGCCGCCAGCTCACACGGGGGATACAGTCGACTCGCCTTCCTACACACATGGCCATTACTCTCCCTCTGAACACGAGTCCGACACTTCGGACGAGGAGGACGACTCCGACGCCGCAGCCTACACAAACCCCTCACTCTCGTCCCGCGCCCACCGAAAGACGAGGCCCGTTATCCCCGCCCTGCCACCATACGTGGATGCGCGGCCCACGATCAAGACCTATTTTAAGATTTACAGCCCATCCAAGGGAGGACGAATGCTCAGTATCTACGAGAGCGCACCCGACCGCTTCAACTTTAGTCAGAGTTGGGGTTGGAAGAGCAGCACGCTGATGCTAGACGAAATCACCATCAGCGGTGAAGGCGACGATACTCTGGGTAGTGTTCCTAACCCCGCTGCGAGCAAGAAGACGGACGGAAAATTACGCTTCATGATGGTTATAGGCAATTTGTAATATAGCGCCGTTTGTTCTTTGTTCCTTTTTTTTTCTTCTAATCTCTTCACACGAGTCGTAGTCCTTTTCTTTTCGTCTTTGTCCTGATACCCCCCTTTTGTATCTGTGCTGAGAAAGAATGTGGGGCCTTTTCTTCTTCTTCTTCTTTTTCTTCTTCTTCTTCTTTGATGTTACGTCGCGTACGTATATGAAGGTCCGCTATGTTATCTTGACGTGTCTTTATTTTATCACGTGGGTGGGCGAAAATCAATTTGCTGTGTGTACGGGGGGGGGAACAGGACTAAGTAACTTATAACACACAGACACACACACACACACGCACATAGATACCAAGGTGCGCGCGCATGTTCTAGACTGTTCATCTCTATTGTTGTTGTATTCTTTCTTCTCAATTGTATTCGACGACTTCCAGCCAAATGGAGTCATGTCGAAATCAATTTTTTCTCCCGGTTCTTCTTCACTTGAGTTGTGTATGCATTCGTGTCTTTTATGTCGGTCGTTCATACGCAGGATGCTTGCAACACTCGGTACTTGCATTGTGTGAGAGAAGTGGAGCTAAGTAGTGGAGGTAGGCGGTACGCCCAGCGATGTTATTGTAGACTGCTGGCTAGTTACTTACTTACTACGTACATGGGTGAGTAACCGCCCTAAATTCCCGTGGTGTCTTTTTTTGGGGGATTTGTGTTATTGTACAAGTGAAACTAAACCATATCAAACCAAACCGAACCAAACCAAACCAGAACTCCAGTGATTTCCTTTCGTTTCATGCCATTCATTCATTCATTCGTGTTCCAGGCCTTCAGGACATTCCAGACATTCCAGACATTCCAGACTTGCTCCCTCTTTGTTGGAGGGCGCCCGTGGCATGATGCAAGTCCGTACTAGTCTGTACAAGTCCAAAGTCCAAAGTAATCCAGTTCCCAGTTCCCGTTCAGTTCCCAATTTCCAGTCCCAAGTTCGCAGTTCCAGTCTTATACAAGTACAGTACATTACATGACAAGTTTTTTTTAGTTTTTTTTTCCCTTCATGTTTGATTCTCCGTTGTCATCGTGCACCAACCATACCATACCATATCATCTCACACCACACCATTCCATGCAGACTCCCCAGGTATACACACATACGCGCGCGCGAGCATGTGAACTAGGAAAAGCCAAAACTCTTCCTAATATCGTACTGCTTGATCCTCCTCGTCTTATTTTCGCGCGTCCTCGCCTTGGCCCTCGCCTTCGCGTCCACGGCTAGAGCGTCCGCGGCTAGAGCGTCCGCGGCTAAAGTGTCGACGTGAACCATATTCTGGCATTTGTTGCTGCATATATTGCTGATAATCTGTGTTCGAGTACCAGGAGTTTGTGTCCGGGTTGTCGTATGTCATTGCGGAGGTATGCCGGTAGTATGACAGGTTGTTTGATGGAAAAAGTGACAATCCTGACAACGGCAAAGGGTAAGCCGATTGGTTGACACCCGTGGTTGGCTGAGCATATGCATAGTGACCTCCATATGGATAGTAGCCTCCATATGGATAGTAAACTTCATGTGGGTGAATGCCTTGTTGCGGCGTGGAATAATCTTGTCCCGTGTTCTGCTGCTGTGAAGTCGACGTGACATCCATCATTTCGCCAGAACCGGTCGGCAGTGACATTCCACGTGCATGAGTGTCGATTACGTTTCCGTCATCATCAACCTCTTCGCGGATAGGGAATTGTTTCGAGTGCAGGGTTTTCCAGTCTTCAGTGTCGTTCCAGATGCGGTAGCGGGCATCTTTGGCCTTCTTCTCGCGCGCAATCGACAGTCTGCATTCCGATACGCTCATCGTCTGGAACGAGGCATCTTCGTAGTGCTTCTCGTCTTGGACGTCGTGCAGGATCGGAAACGGCTTCTCAGTCAGCGTCTCGAAGGGATGGACCGCGACTCCAGGCCTGTAACGGCCGAGACCAGCGCAGCCAAGCTCAGTAATAAGCTCTGTATTTGTGGGACGGCGGCCGTGTATCTTCTCGAAGACTTCGGCATTCGCAGGTGGCAGAGTCTGAATGCCGGCATTGCGATATTGAATGGCGGCTTTTGGTTTGTTTGCGCTGATCGGCTGGTCGACAGTCTTGTCCTGTACAGTCGGAGTCTCATCCTGTACAGTCGGAGTCTCGTCCTTGACAGTCGAAGTCTTGTCCTGCACAGTCGAAGTCTCTTCCTTGACAGTCGAAGTCTCGTCCTTGACAGTCGAAGTCTCATTCTTGACAGTCGAAGTCGCCGACCTACCTGGGCAGCCTGGCAACTGAGCCTTGGAACTGTCGTCCTCTTTGTTCAGATCAATATCCATTGTAGATATGAGTGTAATCCTGTTTCAAAGCGCGTGTTAGCAGTGGCAAACGATGCCGTGCAAACCCAAGCGTCCAAGCAAGCTTGAGCAAGGACAGATGGGCCGGGGCACAGATCCGAGTGTCGTATCAATGCTGCGAGAGGTTCGATTCGACTGGCTTTGGGGATTTGACTTTGTGACAATGGAGGTGGTAAGCTGGGCGAAGAGCGTGTGGGCTAAGTGCGCGTGGGCTGTGTGGTGGGAGCGAGATCCAGATCGACGAAAAGAGTTAGCGCAAAACAATCACTGAGCGTGAAAGGTGATCGGCTTCACTGTGGGTCGCCCTTGAAACAGGTACCACGACATTGTGTGATTCTATTGGCTGCTGGTTTAGTGGAGACGTGGTGAAGACGAGTTTTGTCGGTTTGTTGGCAATGGATGCTGTGGGACAGAGTTCCTCCATTCTCGTTTATCGTCCTAGTGCAATTGTCACTGGTTAAACCTTTGATGACCCTTAATAACCACAGGTTTTGCTTATAGACATATTTTGAGATTTCTCATCTGGATTTCCAGCAGTGATGCTGCTTTCAAAGTCCGATTTCAAGTAGTATTTCCACTGATTCATAGCCGAAGATTATTTAAAAGTGACATGATGAGACTCAAGATATGACTCATACCAGCCCTCCGAGGTTCCAGCTCAAAGTGTTTGCAGCACTTATATCTCCGCATCCAGGACGCCATGATTCCAAGATCAGATAGTTGCGTCTTCGTCACTCATACCTTGTTCGCTCATCTCTTCTGGCACTAACTCAGCAGCTACCTCCAACCGCTTGGTCCACCCATCCACAGAGAACGAATCCTTCTTCCACGAAAGCTCGACATTGTCCAAGTTGGGCCACTGAAGGATAAGGCGATGTCCACCCTGGTGCAGCGTCTCCAACTCTTTGACCACAACTCTGATAGCATCTCGCAACTCTTCTTTGCTCATACACCCGGTCTCTGGCGCATTGTATGTATGAATGCGAATGAAGAACTCAACATGGTTCGGTAAGCCCTCAAAGTTCTTGAGCGACTTGATGAGTTTGTGTCCGGCGTCTGTCACAACACAGCAGGGACCTTTGTCATAGTATGGAGAGCCACGCCTACGGTGTAGTACGTTGTCCATGCACAGCTCAATACGGGCATGGCAGAAGAAATGTCGCGGTTCGATGCCAAGGCCCCATTTATCCGTGACCAAGAATTGCTGAGTGACTTTGACATTGGCGGCTTTGTCGTAGAAATAGAAGAGTGTCGTGCGGTACCAGCTCTCCACAATTTCGCGCTGCATATCGCGGCCGACATACTCATTATCCCAGTAGTGAGCTTTCAGGCTGAGCTGGCATGGCTGCGTTGTCTTGGTAAAGTACTCTGGTCCCACGTAAATGGTGTCGTGGTCGTAGAGGTACTCGTAGATCATGTCTCTGATCTCGCGCGGGAGATTATTGCATATACTTTCGCAGAGGCTGAGGCATGAAGTCTTTGCAAAAGGCTGAATAGCTCGACGAATGTTCCGCTCCGCTTGCCATATCTCAGTTCGCTTTTCCACTTCCTTTTTCTCCCTCTCTGTCGACCAGGAACGTTGTTGCTTTTTGATGTCGCGCAACTCTTTGCACAAACCCTGGCTTCGGATCAATAGCCTGTATGGAATCAGCGAAAATAAGATTCGGAGGGTGGGATAGAAGGCGCGCACGGTGTAACAGCTTCTTCTATCGCGGGAAAACGCTCAGGCGATGACGCAATGGTATCCATGGTAAGGGGAGGAGATTCAGAGAAGCTTCCCAGTTGTTTGAATATAGTATTATGGCGAGCTTTGGGAGGGAGCAACGTGAAGTTCTGGACAAAGGCGGCGGAAAGGGAGGGTATAGGTGCAGGCCAAGCTGAGTGACGCTAGTGGCTTTGGTGGTGTGGTTGCCTGATGCTAACTGCGGGACAAGACAAGCATCTCTAAGCCACCACGGAACAAATTGCCTTAATCCAAATCTGGGGTGGGGTTCGATATTGCCCAGAGTCGGTTGGCGTATTGGGCATGTCGAAGCTGCCATTGATCACGTGACGACCGTTCATCGTGACTATCCTATACATTGCTTAAGCCCAGCACCAGTCAGATGGACTGTATGAAGTTTATCGATTCAAATATGGACTGCGGAACTGTGGCTATAGGAGTCGGAAAATCTCTCTGAACAAGATAATGATAGGATGGCCATTGGCTAGCGTTGAATTGACATGGGGGTGACGCGCTTTCGGAGGACTATTGGCACAGTATGGATGGTGTTCGTAAGAGCTTCTCTGGCAGCAGCAAACACATGTGTGAGGACATATCATCGGATTGACGCGCAACATGAAGGGCCTACAGCAATGCGTGATAAGAACACACTCAAGGCAAAACAACGACATCATATCTCGACTTCACTCCGTACCAAAAGCAGCGTCTATATTTCTTGTGCAGATTTCAAGATACAAAGTAATGGCTAAACTGCAATCAACATTCATCCCGCCGCACAAACGTCTTTCCGCTTTTGCTCCTTCACCTCGTTTCTCTCACTCTGGCAGGAGCGACGACGCGCCCCACTACGCACTTACCGCTCGCTTAGTGGCTAGGCTGAAGACCTTCTACTCTCTTCCTACGCCTTCTTTGAGTCTCTATCCACTGGCCCACACTTCACCTCTCCAAATCCCACAATACGTCTCATCAGCAACCATGTCAGGCCGAGTAGCAGCTATGGGTGATCTGGACCGCCTGCGTAACTACTGCATCGAGTAAGCCATTTCATCTTTTCTAGAACTCCAACTAATGGTTTACTTAGGGCTCTAAGAAAGAAACAAAGGAATGAGCTGAAGCTCGATGCTTCAAACCGCAGTCTCGTGGCAACCAATGATATCCTTTCGAAGTTAATGAAGGAAAAGCGAGAGCTTACAATCAGGGCTAACCAGGATGAAATGGAGATCCAGACTGCACTTGAAGCCTATGCAAGAAAGAGTTGCCTGGATCTCTGCCAACATGTGTACAACACCTTCCCCCGTGAAGTCCGAGACATGATATACGGATATATCATTGGCTGTGAAGATGCCACCCGCAAGCTGGGGGCCGACTGCAACACCGTGTGGCCAGTACATTATCTCGATTGGGATTCAAAGCATAGACTAAGCCCTAGGACCTTTTTCTTTGCCCCGAAGCATTGTCGTCACGCTGGATACGTGGGCACGGATATGATTCGAGAAATCGGCGAGAGATACTATCACTGCACAACATTCCAATTTGGCGACAACACCAAGCTCATAGAAAAGTTCAAGTGTCAAGTCCACTGGGGATTCCCCTTTTCTCCTGTGTCCTTTATTATGAACTTGGGCGTCCACATCTGCTGCGCCTTGGGTGAACTCAAGGCACCTGATGGAATCTCTGGGGAGCTTCTGGACGACGAACTCTGGAAAATCAATGATTTGGAACGCCGTTGGACCAACCCGAAGGTTTATATTGGAATAACCGAAACGGCCCTCGCCATCATGAAACCCCAACAAGTCCTCTTGCACCTGGAATCCCTTTTTGGTTTCAGGGCAGGTACTACGATCACTGTAGGGTTAGGAGTACCACAATACGCACATATCTACGATTTGAAGAGACATAAATCATTCTGCAACAAAGTTGTTCCTTTGATTTTCCCCACTATACAGCGATTGAAAGATGCCGGTATTCACATCCGATGTAGGTTCAACATGTATCCTACTTGTACTAATACCGGTGTCTGTACAATGTTTACGTCGGTATGGAATCCAGCGTCTGCTGAGGAACTGAGCGAAGAGTATCGAAAGGTCAGTTTGTCACATGTCGTGGACTAAAACGTGGTTATTGCTGACTCGCGAAGTATATCGCCGCCGAGGAACGTGCCGAGAAAGAGCAAGAAGTCGAGACTATGAGCGAGTCATAGGAGTTTTTCAGCGATGCACTCGGCGGTATAGACGATGAAAAAGAGCTTGGAATCATCAGAGTAACCTATGGCATGTATGGCGAAAAGCGAAAAGGTCTATGATGGAAACAGCGGTTGACCGCCTTTGTTCTCTTTCTGTGATTTCTTTTTATGCAAAGCGAAGAGGCAACACGACTGATTGGGCGCCACGTCACTCGGAGATAGCACAAGATGCTTGCCTGCAATCAGCATGTTAGCGAAGCTGGGCTGAGGTACGCCTAAGTGGCAGGCAGTGGTTTGCCCAACAGCCAAGACGGCGCGGTGTGAGCACCCGAGTGAGCGATCATCAGTACCCTGATAAGCCTCGCCCTGGCTTCTCCAGAAACCGAATGCAATTCCTCAAGATTTCCCTTACTTGTAATCAGAAATGAACATGGATATTGCAATGACTGATGCTCCGAGGAGCATTGACGGTGATGGCTGCGTTGCATATGGGGAACTGCGCAAGCGCGCGCTGAGGTGCACTTGGCTACAGCCCTGTGGTTACTATTGCTGACCCGATATATCCAGAGCTCTGTCTGAAGAAAGCATTCGCAAGGCACGTGTAGAAGCTTTGCGAAGAGAGCTAGCTATACTAGAGTCCGACCTCGCCAGCATCACACCAAGGACGCAGGATTCTGTCGAGCAACTGGCCAAAGCAGAATGCCTCGAGCTCAGCACCCACATCATGACCAAGCTGCCACGTGAAGTGCGCGACATGATCTACCTGCATCTCAGCACCCGACATGGCGAAATCATAGAGCGCGAGCACTTCCGGACCACATTAGACCCATTGACGCGACTCTACTCGTACAACTTTGAGCGATGGAAGCAGCAGCATTTCCCGGAGCATTTCTGGAATCCAGAATACGTTTCGCAGCCCTTGTATAACGAGCTGGTCGAAAACTACTACCGTACATCCAGCTTTATCTTCGGCGACGATCCCGGCGTAATGAAGCGGTTCCTCACCTCGGACGAAATGCGCCTCGGCATCCTACCCAAAGCACTGGTCGCGAATGTGGAAATCGGGCTGAACGCTGTATCACATGACCGGGGTTCATTCCGGGCATACATGTTTGGAGTGCCCAAGAGTCCTGAGCGCATGCGCGAATCCCTGGATGGTCTTTTTGAACTCAAAGCCGGAGCAAGGGTGGTGATTCGGTTCATCACGGAGGCGAAGACAGACGAGGAGAGAGAGGGCCATTGCAGAGGCGCAATGGGCGTGCTTTTTGACGAGACGCAGAGAGCGAGGATGAAGGAGTACAAGGTCAAGTTTGTGGTGGATGAGGGGAGGGCTTGGGATCTGGGAGAGGCGATGAGGGAGGAGTGGATGGCTACTATGGGGCAATAATATATGAAGCGGGATTTGTGTGTGCTAAATGGCGAGTGTCAAGGGCTCGTCGCTGTATACGCATGTAAGAGCAGATTAATGGAGCAAGACATCCGAGCCCAACACAGTAACCGTCCGCCGCTAGCGTGTTCTCAGCAACGCCTCTGATTGGCGGCAGCGTGACGCCATCAGAGTACCAGGGCAAAGTACCCCGCCATGACAGAAATTGCAGTCGCGACTCTGGCGGCTGCCCCGCGGTGAATGCTTTCACGCGTCAGTTTCAGCCCAACCCTTCTTTCTTCCCACCTCAGCCCCCGCATATTCGCCAGAAACGTCTCGATTCCATACCGCAAAATGGCAGGCGTCCCAAACACTTTCGATGGTGTGCATCCCATGACTAGTCGCCCGGCTTCCCGCTTACCTCTTGTGCAGCGCCCGTCCACATCGCCGTCATAGGCGGCACTGGCATTTCGTCGCTGCCGGGCTTCACTCTCGCTGCAACCCTCGATATCGACACGCCATGGGGAAAGCCGTCCTCTCCCATCTCCATCCTGCAACACCCATCGCCCACCTCTGGCAAGCCCATCCCAGTAGCCTTCCTCTCACGACACGGCCTGCACCATCAGTATGCTCCTCACGAGGTCAAGAACCAGGCCAACATTGCCGCCCTGCGACACATTGGCGTCCGCACCATCATCGCCTTCTCTGCCGTCGGCTCGCTGCAGGAACACGTCCGGCCGCGCGACTTTGTCGTACCAGACCAGATCATTGACCGTACCAAGGGCATCCGGCCATTCACCTTCTTCGAGGGCGGCATGGTAGGCCATGTGGGCTTTGGCGACCCGTTCGACAAAAACCTCGCCGTCATCGTGAGACAGTGTGGGCATGCGCTTGAAGGCGACGGTGTTACACTGCACGACAAAGGTCTTTTGATCTGCATGGAAGGACCCCAGTTTAGCACACGCGCAGAGTCCAACCTCTATCGATCGTGGGGCGGCAGCGTCATCAATATGTCGGCTCTACCTGAAGCCAAGCTTGCGCGCGAGGCCGAGATCGGTTACCAGATGATTTGCATGGCGACCGACTACGACTGCTGGAGGGGCGACGGCGAGGAGGATGTCAACGTCGAAATGGTCATGTCCCACATGAAAGCAAACGCAGAGAACGCCAGACGCTTCGTCGGCGCCGTGTTGAACGAACTCAGCAAGGAGGAGCATGGTGAGCAAGTTCTTGCAAAGCACCTCGAAGGACAGATGAGGTTTGCAGGCGCCATGACGAAGAAGGAAGGACGAGGACAGGATGCGGAGAAGAAGCTACAATGGCTATTCCCGGGCTACTTTGAATGAACCAAAGTATCTATGATACGGCTACATGACTAATGGCCGCTGGGTGTACAAGGCAGAATTTACGACTTCAGCATCGGCGGTATTCCCAGCCGAGGGACACATGTCAAGATACACTCTCAAGCATATGCAACCCGCCTAGTCAGGAAGGTCGATAGCAATCCGAGCAACATCTGGGTCTCAAGCTTGCATCATAGTAAAGGTAGACTAAGCCTATCGATAGCTATCCGTCAAGACCCCAGCCATTTCGACTCCCGCGGAGCCAAGCCTTGAGTTTCACGATTCGTCCTGCTTAGCACCTTCCTAGTTAGAGGAAGATCCGCTCTATACCTGCCGCTGTTGCAGATACGCTTGTCGACGTTCACGACGCATCTTCTGACTCTGCTTCGTGGCTTCGCATACCAGCATAGCCATGAAACTATGCGCGAGATTTTTCTGCCCGGGTGATACGGATGTACCACGCTAATGAAGCATCAGGGTGTGACGGACTGGCCAAGCCAAAACTGCCTGCATATTGTGCGTTACTGTTCGGCTTACCAGCTCCTTTCAAGACTTTTCCACTGCAGTTTTGCGGCTCTTATCGTCTAAAGCAAGATATATGACATCAATCCCGCGGGGAAGATATCCCGGCAGACTGACCCTTGTCCAGTATGCGGAAGTCACGGGAGCCAATGTCAGATCGAATTTCCCCAGATGGATATAACAAACAAAACGCCCCCTACTCTCGTGGACGTCCAGAAGGCCCTTCTTCTTCACTGATAAGTCTCTCATTTTGGGCTATAGCTGGTGCAGTCGGCATCATGGTCTCGGCTTGGTTCTTGGCCAAGGCATTTGTGGCATTTGCGCCACTTGCGAGCGTGTACGCGCAGTATAACACTACGAAAACTTTCCCGTCGCTTCTCGATGCTACCGCGGATGAATTGACTGCTGGATTGGCTGCTGGAGCCTTTACAAGCTTGGACCTGGTACAAGTATGTTTCAAACAGTGGCTTGAATAGGGGTTATTGCTGACAGATTCCAGGCTTACGTCGGACGTATCATCGAAGTCAACAAGACGCTTCACATGGTTGTTGAGATTAATCCAGATGCATGGACCATCGCAAAAGAGCTGGATGAGGAGCGCGCTCGCGGAAAGTTGAGAGGGTTTGTCTTCTGCATGACACTGGTTGCAAAGCTGACGATGAGCAGTCCTCTTCATGGCCTCCCTGTGCTCATCAAGAACAACATTGCCACTGCCGACCAGATGAACAACACAGCTGGCTCGTGGTCTCTGATCGGAGCAAAGGTCCCACGTGATGCCACTGTTGCTGCTAAATTGCGCCAAGCAGGTGCCATCATCCTAGGCAAGACGAATCTTTCGCAGTGGGCCAACTTTCGATCATCCAACTCTTCGAATGGCTGGTCTGCGCAGGGCGGTCAAACTTATGGCGCTTATTACCCGGGTCAAGACCCTAGCGGCAGCAGCAGTGGCAGTGGTGTCGCGGCTAGCATAGGTCTGGCTTTTGGATCTCTGGGTACTGAAACCGACGGATCTATCCTTTCGCCTAGTCAGGTGAACAATATCGTCGGCATCAAGCCTAGCGTCGGTCTCACCAGTCGTTCACTTGTCATTCCCATCTCGGAGCACCAGGATACGGTTGGACCAATGGCTCGCACGGTCAAGGATGCAGCCTACATTCTACAAGCCATTGCTGGCCCCGATCAGTATGACAACTACACTTCTGCTATTCCTTGGGCCATGAACACAACCAATGCGACGAAGCCCGACTATGTCTCGGCCTGCAGGCTCAATGCTCTTGAGGGCAAACGCATTGGTGTCCCGCGCAATGCGATTGGCATTCCCAGCACCTCTTCGTCGCCACTCTACGCTGCCTTTGAAGCTGCCCTTGATGTTCTCCGCTCGGCTGGCGCTACTATAGTCGAAGGAACAAACTATACCGCTTGGGACCAGTACATTCAATCCAACGCAGAGAATGTCATTCTAAGTGGCGATTTCGCGCCCAACCTTGCCAGCTACCTGGAACAACTGAGCTACAACCCCAACAAAGTCAATACTTTGGAAGAGGTGCGACAGTTTACCCGTACATTCCCCGCCGAAGACTATCCAGACAGAGATACCGCGGAATTCGACACTTCAATTGCACAGTCGCAAAACTTTAGCAACACGGACGCAGAGTTCTGGGCGGCTTACCAGGAAGATCTCTACCTGGGCGGCGAAGGCGGTCTCCTTGGTGCTCTGTCAAGGCACAATCTCGACGCGGTAGTCGTTCCAACGCTCTGGGCATCTGGTATATCAGCCATTATTGGCGGACCTGTAGTCACTGTACCTCTGGGAGCGTATCCATCTAACACCACTGTTATCACGAACTCCCGGGGCGACCTGAATGCCACAGCCCCGAATATTCCGTTTGGCATCTCCTTTGCAGGTGCACTGTGGAGTGAAGAGAGCCTGATTGGGTTTGCGTATGCGTTTGAGCAAAGAACCATGGTTAGGAAGACGGTGAAGCCGTATATCAAGCCGAGCATTGAGATTGAGAATGTCGTTGGCAGCTACTAGTAATATATGGGATGGAGAGGGATGACGATAGATGTTGAATAGGATTGCTGAGATGAGACTCATCATCTATGTGCATATATCATGTCGAGTTTAGAGCATGCAAACCGCAAGTCATTCAGTACTCTTTCAATGTAGCAAAGAGGATATTACAGTAGATAAAGAGGGTAGCGATTTCAAAAGGGGGTGGAAATGGCATGAGAAGGCCACGGCAATGTAGTTGGCTTGTCCAGCACGGTTCTGGCACTAGGCTCGCACCTGCACGCCCAACATGGCATCAGCATCAGCCGAGTCGAGTTTGTAGCGTCTACCCTCTGTCTGCAACGAAGCTTGTCCACCTACCTTGTCGCATCTACCTTCTCTTTGCACGACCACTCACACTTGACCCGAAGACATTCCATTCCGCAGAGCTCCCACTCGACGTGCAAATCCGGACAAAGGTTTTCCATCGTTCGCCCAATGTCTTTTTCTCTCTTATCTCAGGCTCCAGGTCAGGCGGCGCCATGAAGGCAGCTACAGTTTCCGCTGGTACTCCGCTGCCTGTATGCTGGACATGGGGTCTAGCAGCTGTTTTGGACTGAGCTGGCGCCTTGTTCGCGGGCTTAGCGTACTGCGGCGGCTGACTCGATGGCTCCGAGTTGTAATAGACGGGCGGTTCCTGGTCTGATCTCCCCGTCCGAGAACGTGCAGCTGGCGGCGCGCTGTCCAGCGTCTTTTTGGATTCACCGGGGCCCATGATGCGAATTAATGGAATGCACAAGAGATGGGAGATGGAAGAGCAGCGCAAAGGCGACGGGAACACGGCATATTTGACATCAAGGCAACGAGAGGCATACTGCCGGCCAAGTCACTTCGGTGGATGCCTGAAGGCGTGGCGCAGGAATATGATACGAGGTTTACGTTCGCGTACCGAAAAAGATGTCAGCCGATGCCGTGGGGTTGGATGGTCATCTGCACCGCGTCGTTAAGAGAAGAGGCGCATGCATGGGTGAGACGCCACAAGTGGTGTCCGCGGCGAGAGCCCGTATCGGCGCAGAGACGCACCCAGTAGCAAGCCACATGCGCCTGGCCGGGCCAGTTGGGGCTCCATGAAGACGTGGACGCATCGACATCCCCCGGCCTTTGGAGCTCAGCCACAGATGGCTGTTGCGCTGATTCGGTATTGATTGCGCGCGACACTCATGACGCAATTATTGAGCTTCAAAGCCGCATTCGGGCGGCGCGCCACGCCTACGCATGGGTTCATCTCGACGCCGCCCGAAACACCGCTCTTCCAAATCACCACCCACGACGCTTACCTATCATTTTTCCCACATGCGGTTTCCCTCGTTCCCAAGCCTCGTCCGCGCCTTTCACTCCATTGCCAATACCACGACCGCCTTTGTGCGATCCAGCCCCGCCTCCACCCTCGGCCGCACCATATATAGCTCGCCCCAGCGCGCTCTCGTCTACCGCTCCATGCCAAACATTCCCTTTCTAGGCGCCCTCTTCGGATCCTCCAGCTCCATGGCTGACAACACAAACTACCCCGTCCAGAAGCCCGAGGGCGAGTGGCAAGCTCAGCTCTCACCCGGTATGTGTCTTCGCGCGCACCTACAACCGCCAGCCATGCTAACTTCCCGCCTCCCCCGCCCACAGAGCAATTCCGCATCCTCCGCCAAAAAGGCACCGAGCCCCCGGGCTCGGGCAAATACAACAAGCACTACCCGGATGCCGGCGTCTACACCTGCGGCGGCTGCGCCGCGCCCCTCTACAAAGCCAACCACAAATTCGATTCCGGCTGCGGATGGCCCGCCTTCTGGGACGCCATCCCCGGCGCTGTCGGCCAGAAATCAGACTCTAGTCTCGGCATGATGCGCACGGAGATTGTGTGTAATAATTGTGGGGGCCATCTGGGTCATATCTTCAAGGGAGAGCGGTTTGGCAATCCAAAGGATGAGAGACATTGTGTTAATAGTGTCAGTATTGATTTTAGTCCTGAGGATAAGAGTTAGGTGTGGATGAGTTGGGTGGGGGGAGACGGGGATGTAGATGTGGATGAAATGACATGAAATGAATAGCGAGATAATTCCTAGTGTCATATTTCCAAAATTTTGCTCCAGATTGCTGCTTTTTTCCCGGTTTGTTAGAGTGGATGTAATCGGGTATCGAGGAATTTTGAGCACTGCTGTTTGGCGTACTATTTACGAAAAAAGAAAATGCATAGCTGTATATTTATCTACCACACATACAACGACAAAGTATACACTGGACGTCGTTCCTGCTATTTAAGCCTTTTGCTTAACTAAGTGAAATGATAGTAATTACAGTATTATTTATTTCCTCTCCGTGATACGATTATCAGAGTTCTATAAGGGATATAGCGCAAATAAAGAGACGTGTATAGTTTACCCGATCTGCGGCTAGGCTATGGCTACAGCTATAGCTACTGAACTCTTGTCCTGCAACTCGTATGTTTGGAGAGCTGAATTTTCTGTGTACTATATAGAATGGTATTGTGAAGAACTCATGTGTGAATATCAGCGTCTTCAATCAATCTGAAGAGGATACGAGCCCTGCGTATAGTCAAATCTAAATATATTAAGCCAAGCACTGGGTCACGCATCTGGGCGTAGTGTCGTCTCCTGAGCTCGATGTGTAGAAGAGTCCATCAGATCAGGGCATACATTGTGATGATACCCTTCATGGCCCAGAATGAATACAAAGATACTTCTAGAACGGAATAACCGAGGAATTACCTCGTATTCGACGTTGCTGATTATGTCATGGGCGACTAAACACCCTTACGACGCCCCGGAGATAAGCGCTGCAAGTGGCGACGCTACTTTTACCTCCGTAGCCTCGACGCCTTCTTCACCAATGAAACGCTGCACCGAATGCTGTCGACAGCGCGCTACCAAGCGCGGCCGAGACTTCCGATGCTTTGCTGTGCTGTACCCATTGTTCCTGCGGTCTCGATGTTTCCTTTTTGTTTCTCGACTTTTGCTAGAACGAACGGCTTGTTGCTTTGTCTTTGGAAACCCGCAAACATCTTCCCCCGCCTTGGCTGATGAAACCACCCTCTCAGGATCAAAATGGGGCGGCTACGTCTCGACGGGCGTCCAGTGACAGCGCCACTCGCACGGATTTTAGACGTGGCTCCGAGGATGGCGGGCCTCAACACTTTTCCGAGTCGACCTTTTTGATGGCAAATGGCGGGAATGCAGCTGCTTCACTGGGATACAGTACTGCACACAGCCCAGGTCCTGATGCCCAGAAAAGAAATCGGCCTCATGACCTTTCGATTAACACCGGCGTGGGAGCTGGTGCCGCCCCGCCTCAAGTCGACGACACTGAGCAGAGTCAAGCAGCGAACAAGCCGGTATCGTGGAGTTCGCTGCCTCGAAAAGACCAGCTTCTAGTATTGGCCCTGGCACGGCTGTCAGAGCCCTTGACACAGACGTCGCTAGGCTCATACCTCTACTACCAGCTCCAGTCGTTTGACCCCTCACTCTCCGAGTCCAAAATCTCGTACCAGGCTGGTATCATTGGCGCTGTGTTTCCAGCCACGCAGTTCCTAACTGCCATGCTATGGGGCCGCTTTTCCGATTCTGAGAGTGGCGGTCGCAAACGCGCCATCTATCTGGGTCTGGTGGGAACTATGCTGAGCACCATTGGCTTTGGCTTCTCGCACAATTTTGCCATGGCTGTGTTCTTTCGCAGTATGGCTGGGATTTTGAATGGGAATGCGGGTGTGATGAGGACTATGATTAGTGAGATTATCAAGGAGAAGAAGTATCAGAGCAGGGCGTTTCTGCTCATGCCCATGACGTTCAATGTTGGCGTCTTGATTGGACCTGTGCTCGGTATGTGGAGATGGTCTGTATTCGTGCTTCTGCTAACACCAGCAGGTGGCGTGCTCGCAGACCCTGTGGCCAGCTATCCGTCCTTGTTTGGATCTCACTCTGTGTTTGGTGGCAAGGATGGTGTTTGGTGGATGAAGCAGTACCCTTACGCGCTGCCCAACCTTGTCAGCGCGATATTCCTATTCCTCTCATCGGTCGCAGTTCTCTTCTTGCTCGAAGAGACGGGAGAGCTTTGCAAGGATCGACCTGACTTTGGCCTCAAGATCGGTCGCTGGATACGCAGGACTATTTTCCGTCAAGATGTCGCTCCAGAAGCTGGATACAACATCGTCCCGAGCCACGACCTGGAACTCCAACCGACACCGACATCCCCTCATGCCAACGGCACCGCCAGCTTTGACAAGCCAAGCAAGCTGGTTCGACAAAAACTTCCTTTCCGCCACATCTGGACACGCAATCTCATCACGACACTGTGCGCCCACGCCGCCCTCGCCATCCACGTAGGCACCTTCAACGGCATCTGGACTCTGTTTCTCTCCGCGCCGCGCTTCGACCCTGCACACCCACACCCACCGCACTTCAAGCCGCACGGCCTCTTCTTCACGGGCGGCCTCGCCATGCCCCCCGCACGCATCGGCCTCGCCCTCGCCATCATCGGCATCATCGGGCTCCCCCTTCAACTCTTCATCTACCCCAAACTATCCCACAATCTCGGCACTACAAGATGCTTCCGCATCTTCCTCGCTTTCTTCCCACTCACATACACGCTCGCCCCCTTCCTCAGCCTCGTCCCCAGCTGGACGGCGCCCCCCGCCGGCGTCACAGGCCCCTGGATCTGGACCGCCATTACCTGCGCGCTATCGATCCAAGTGCTCGCACGCACTTTCGCGCTCCCCTGCACAGCCATCCTCATTAACAACGCCAGTCCACATCCGTCGGTGCTGGGAACAGTCCATGGCATCGGCCAGTCTGTATCGAGTCTTACGCGCACCGTCGGCCCCATCTTGTTCAGCTGGTTATTCGGAAGGGGACTCGACATGGGCATGGTAGGCCTTTCCTGGTGGTGCATGGCTGGCGTCGCTGTTGGCGGCTGGGCAATTGCCCAAGGGGTGCGTGAGGGCGATGGCCATGAGATTCTACTGGAAGGCGAGAAGAGAGAGGGTGATTGAATGAGTGGATGAGTGGTGTCATGGTGTAGCTGTGTGTTTTTACGACTATACTTACATAGATTTCATGAGTAACGTGATGAAATACAGTGTTTTTTTATTCTTATTCTTCTTCTTCTTCTTCTCCTTCAAGATTACTTTTACTTAGACTAGAATTGAGCCGCGTGGTCAGGACTTGGTCGAGCTTGTGATAATTAGGTATTCTTAGCTCAGACGGGTCTCTTGTTGATCCAGGGGCACGCGTTAGTTAATATACGTAAAGTCTATACATATCCTAACATAAAGTTTTTAAGTATAGGATAGTAAGCAAGTAATAAGACTTTACCTTTAACATATACCACGCTAATTAGCCTAAATCATAAGTTACCCCTAGTCGCTGTAGATGAAAGTATAAGCGCTACGGTATACTCAACCTAGGAGTAAGAAATTAGTCGTCATTTCTCTGCTTATCTTTTACTTGATGTAGGATAGTAAGTTCGTGTTGGACAAGTATAAGTTAGGAAGGTTGTGAGCCTTGATCTTCACCTCAATAACTGTGCATCGCTTTCTCTCTACATACCTTTCCATCAAGACACCTTACAAACGTACCATGCTCTCCTCTGCCATTGCCCTCTTGCTTAGTCTAGGTCTTGCAGCCTCTGCAAACCCCATTGTAGAGACTAGTCTACGTGGTAATCCTAGGCCCAATGGCATTCAGGTATATATATATTCTGCCTTTTCCAGGTCCAGTAGGACCTCCTTGGATCGAACTTTTTCTAACATGTACTCACTAGCCCACCTGTACTAATACGTACGGCTCAACCGCACCTCAAGGAGAATGCCTGATCTTCAGCGCCCCAGGTAAACAGAGCGGCGGGCAAGCGTGTCGTAAAGTGAGTTTAGCTTTTTTTTTATTTGTATTTTTTTTTCTTAAACTACGTGACTTGAAATGATGCTGATGAAACTAAAAGCAATCTCCCTGCCCAAGGGAGGGCTGGCCCTGCACTCTCAACGTGTACACGGATGGTCGATTCGATTATGCAAACTGCGCGTAATATGCACCACATATTCCATACAAGAAAATAAAGTCGGTTTTTCATTGAAATGTACTGCAAGGCTGGGAACTCCGCAGGGCGAGGGGGGTAGAGTTCAAGAAAGACCTGCGTCTGATATAAAGTCGACTAGATTTTGATTCTTTCTGTGAGAGGGGATTCTCTAGATACCTTTCACCAGAAATCGCTACTGCTAAATCTCTCTTTCCTTTGGAACAACCACAGATTCTCGCCAGGTTACCTAGCACGCAGTCAGTCATCCCGAAAGTCCAGCACAGAAGATGTAATAACGCCTACAAGTAGCGTGTTGTTACAAGTAAGAAGTAGGATTTCCCTACCCTGCAGGTAGCGCGAGTAGTTAAGACTCACCCTGCACAACTGGCTATAGATGGCAGACCCGAGAGCTAGTGTGTTTCCAGAGTTAGATGCATGAAGCCATAGTTGTTGTTCTCAGTGACTGGAGCCTGGTTAGGAAGAGCATCAGGCGCTGACGAGAAGAGCACTTAGTGGTAGTCGCCGCTTCGCAGCGCTTTAGTTCGTCTTCTATCACGGAAAGAAAAATGTGGGCTCACCCATTGTGTTGCCGAGTGCTGCTATCACAGCCACGAGACGGGATCTCAACGTCCCTCGACTTACTTGCGCATTATTTGCCGTTCCGATGCCATGGCCACTCAAATCCGCAGGCCGGAAAACCGGAATGAGGGCTTTGGTACGACGCCTGGTTGTGCTGGAGCTCGAGGGGTATACTGCTTTGGCACCGGGGGGTCTGGCCTTAATGCAGCAGAGTGACTTTGGAATCCAGTGGGAAGTACTTCGGCCATCCCTTTCCCGCTCGATATAGTGCTCGCTGGTGTGCTAGACACCGACATGCTGTTTCCAGGTGCTCCGCTACCCCAAAGTCCATCGAACGCCTCGGTCGGCTGTAGCACGAAGCGGCTGAGAGTAGGCGCAGTTTGAGGTCCACATAGAATGCTCCACGCACTCACGGCCGCCGCTGGAGAGAAATCAACAAACCATGTTAAGCTCCCAGTACCGCTGCTGAAGCTCAACTGCTTCTCGTTGGGAGTAGATGAGCACGTCGCATCGCACTCCACATGCTCCTCCTCTTCCACCCCACTCATAACCACATCGCCATCCGCCTGCACTTCCACAACCCCCAGCCTACTCACCTCATCCTGCTCAAACACATCCAGCAACCACTCAAACGCCTCATCCTTTCGCTCAGCATCAAGCCCGAAACCCAAGTACTTAGCCGCCCTCTCCATCGTCCTCACAATAACCAAATCGTTCCGACCTATCACCCCGTTTTCCATCCACTCACCGTAGAACTGCGCGTGCACTATGCAAAACGCACCCCAATCCCAAGGTAAGGCATCGCGTATATTGTGAAGCTCCACGCGCAGCACAGCCGTGACTTGGGCGGCCCACCATAGCGTGTCTTCGAGCTGGTATATCAGGCCCTGGCCGTAGTCTTCGCGGACAGCGCAGTCGTGCCAGGATTCCAGCATTGATGTTAGTGTTGCGTTAACCTGTATGATGGCTAGTGTTAGCATGCCGATAACTGGGGAGTAAGGGACGGGTGCTAGACTTACGTTTTTTATTGCGGAGGGGAGGTGGGCCCCGAGGAGGAGCGAGGGAAAGTACTCACTGGGCAGTTTAGGAATCGTGTGGTTGCGCGTCACGGGACGACGTAAGTGGTGTGATTGCGGGTTGAACATGGATTGGTGGGCCAAGTAGGCCTTTGCAATGCGTCCGCGGTTTTGCCCGGGACGCAGTATATTGCGGGAGGTAGTCATTGTGATGATATCTTGGTATCTCTCGACCTCCTTGATATCGATGGTGCAATCAATTTGGGGAACCGGCGTGTGGTATACCGTGAATTGGGGGGAGTATTAAGACTCGACTGCGGTTGAAGCAGAGTAGAAGCGTTGTGAGTGTATAGTGTGAACGCAACAGTGAATCAAGAGCGGAAGCCTGTCTATGTGATATCATACAGAGCCAGATTAGACGTGAATTTCACAGTGAAACTACTGATATGCATAGATCCCGCTAGCTTGATGTGGAAAATGAGGGCATCGTCAGTCTTGTTCGATTAAGCTCCGCGCAGTGAGCTCGCTACAGGAAAGTTGGATAGAGCAGATGACTGCCGATTACTGCACCATACGAGGCATACTCCTCTTTATTTTTGCTGTTCACTTTTGCCATGCCGATGTTTGATCAAGCAAGCAAAGACTGTTTTTTTGGAAATCTCCACTGCATGTGGTCTGCAGCTATGCTATGACTGGGGCAGTGTCTACGAACATTGATAGCTTGTATTTGTAGCTTGCCTTCCGCAGTATATTCGGTATTATCTGTGAATTTATAAGAAGGCAGTTAGGATTTTGCCCGCACAAGGCCAACAATGAATGGACTTGGTCCAAGTGTGATACTGGAATTAGTCGCAAGGGCCTTCACCAGACGTCAACGCACCCAGCCCAAGACACTACATATTGACAACCTTTTTCTCCAGCCTGATTCCTCGCCTCTTGAGCCGCATCCAAAAAACAAATGTTTTGTTCATCTCGCACTTCCATCCCCAAGTGGGATTCTCAATCACAGCGACGAGGCCTCTATTCCACAGCTCTTGCAGAAAGGAACATAGCATCCTCGAAGAACGACGCCAGCACCACTTGGTCACCAGCTCACTCTTTTCAAAGTATACTTGATGGAATGCGACATAAATTGTTATGAACACGGGTGAATTTGCTCGCAGGAATCCAGTCACACTTGGATGCCAGATTTCACCTCGGCTGGGTACTTCGTTGCTGGTAAGCCTTTCACACGACATATCAAGGTGCAAGGAAACCGTCACACCCGCCGCCAGAGATATGAAATGATGATTCTGGTTTCCTTACAATGTGCTGTCTCTTATGATGGGAGCCAAGTATCTCATCTGCAAGCAAGTAGCGGAATATGGATTACTAATTTACGAACAAAGCGGCTAGGCATGACGACGACGTGCCCGAAAATGTGCACAAGAATTCTGGGCTAGAAACCGATCGAGAACTTCAATCTCAGAAATAAAGAATGTGTGATTTGCGGTACATTGTCCCGACAATTTCAGTCGCAAAAAGCATGGCCAAAAAATGATCCGCGTTGAGGCGCACCGGCTTCGTCTCTCGGGGGACCCCCGGTAGTCGTCGTCGAAGAGTCACTGGAGACAATGCATCATCTGCATAAGGATTTGGGGAAGAGTGTTGTAGTCAATTTGGATCACGTCGGGAGCAAGCATGTTTTCATAGATCGTGTCTGACTTCGCGCGGCCGTTTTTGCAGCGTGGCACTTGCGTAGACGGGCTGGCCCATATTGGCATATTGAAATACCCTGCATAGCTCAGCTTCACGCATATTTGTACTTGCTACCTTCTGCCTGCGAGGCAGACCTCAACGTCGATATTTCGCATTTGTAAAAGTCCAGCTTCCTTGTGCAGAGATCGGGTAACGTATCGGAGTTGTTGCTTTCCTCTTTTCTGCCGATGATGCGATGAAGCTCATAGATGGAGTCGCGTTTGTTTTTAAAATCTTTCCGGGCGTCGGAGGAGATTTTCAAGAGAGTGAGACAGGGGAGACGAAGTGTTCGCTCTTATTCGTGGCGGATGATGTGCATCCAAAGGCATCGGTGAAGCCCACACGTTAGTGGGCTACCTTTCTGCCATATACAAGGCACTATTAGCATTTCTATAGATGATGCCATAGAACAAACCTCTCGGCTTTCGCTCACCCATATCCATAGGCAAGCTGCGTGGGCTTTGAGGAGTGTGCGTGGTTGGCGCGTTTGGAAAGGCGGCTCCAACAAAGCTTAGAAGCACTGAGGTTTATAGGTGCGACATCAAGTTGATACGCTGAGCGGATAAGCTTCGAGCACAGTGAGAGTGTCAAATTTAATTGCCTAAGGTACTAAACAAGGAAATAATCAGACGCGTAAGGCTGACAGGATATATGTAGAGTTCCGGGTGAATAGGTGGTGGCGGCTTATGTGACTCGCAATATGGTACAGAAAGCGGGGTCATGTCTCAGGAAGAAAAGAAGGTGTGGCAATTGCTTCATTATGTCAGAAGAGCGAATGGCCCCGTGACGTCATCAAAATACTAAATGGCCTGGGCTGGCGTAATCTACAAGACATTGCGGAAGATAACCCGCGGGTGGTTCCTAACATCCTGAACTAAAGGCATAGATGTATCCTCAGGAGATCGTGGGGTATACCAACGGTCATGTGGTGGAGAAAGTTCATCAAAAAAACTGTTTGCTCCGGTGGGAGAGCGTGTATGCGTGACCAACGGATACATGGGCATGTCCGGTAATTGTGACGGAGAAGATGTGTTTGGGTTGCGCGGGTTTTCCGAGCCCATAGGAGGCTGCGCTGAGGACTGCGCGCCAGGTTCGGCCTCTGCGCTACTAAACCAACTGTTCATAGCGCGGCCCATAGGAGAAGTCAAGTCTTGAGTAGACGCTGGTCGGGTATTATCATTGTCGGAAGTTGATAATTTTGGGGCCAAAAGTGCCTTTGTACAAAGCTTAGGATGTTGGGCGTGCGACGGTACAGATCTTTGAGGCGGAAAAAGCGAGAATTGTGGCTTGTGCGGCGTGTCTCGAATCGGAGGGGGGGAGTGACTTGAATGCCACGAGCCCGGCGTAGGGGGGCTAAGGAGATGCATCTTGTTCGGTGGGTTTGGTGCTCTTCTCGAAGGTATGAAAGAGTGTAGGAGCAGCGCTTCTGACGATTCGTTCATTGTAGAAATGAAACTTGAGCTGTATGTTCGTGGAGTCACTAGCTCAGAGCTTTGCTTGCTCAGAGACTCGCGATGCGGAACACGTATAATGAAGTCTCGTATGCTTGACTTTCTTTGTGTCGAGTATTGCAGCCTTGAGCTTAGAGGGGCTATTGATCCCAATGACAGAATTCTTGGGGATGCTTTGGGGAGAAGTTCATAGCCAGCAGCTCCAGCAGCAGCCGGTTTCCAGGTTTCCAGATCTCGATGCTTGTACTGTCTTCGAAACCAAAGTGGTAGTTTTGTACGTCCGGTTCCTTTATTGGGTGTATTCCTTGGGGGTTTTGACGAGCTGGGTCTCTGCCTTTTGCTACCGAGACTTTTGAAAAAAGGTACCATGAAAGGAATGCTTGCAGTGACGATACTGAGACATATCTCAATTTCGGATACTATCGCCATCTTCGGAGCGCGATGATGAAGATTGTCGTGCAGTGTAATAGGGTACAGCCAGATGAGACGAATAACCACCGTTGCAACAACAAGCAGGCGAGGTGCGAAACATAGGACAATGGCGACTTTTCGAGACAGCTGCATATGGATGGATACGATGAGAATTACAGATAGTGCGAAAATGGCTAGCTCACTGAGTATGTCGAGAGTCGAGTAGATGATCCAGAAAACTCCCTGCAGCATTCAGTATCTTTATTGGCATGCACGGAATCGCAGATGCTTACAGTTCTGATACAATGTTCTCCAAACGTCCGCCATGGGTTCGGAAGCTCGCATTCAACTGCGACAACTGCTAAAGAGGTCAAAGTCCATGCTGTGATGACAAGCCCAAAAACGAGTACCGCGTGGCGGATGAAACGCTGACAGGGCGTAATGCTGTAGAAAAGGACGAGGATCGAAAGCTTAGGAAAGCAAATAGCGAAGATGTAAAACAGGTCGAATGCATAGTATCCCTTTGATACAAGCTCAATCTGCTCAGGAGTCAAGGGAGCGGAAGAACCGAGGCGATTGATTGCTAGGATAAAGGTAGTGGCTGACAAGCCGAGAGCAAATAACTTCGTTTGTAAGTCTTTGTAGACAGGGAGTTGGTCTTTCACTTACAGACGCTAAAAAAATGAAGCCATCGTCCAGCCTGACTTTTCGGAAGATGATTGCCTTGGTCACTTGGCGTGCAATGAAAGTTGCCCCTACGAGGGCTGCGACAGCCACCGACGATATTTTGAGGGCATTCGTGTGGTCGGATTCACTCGCTTGCATGGCTGGGGGGAAATTATGGCGTTGATATTGCGTGGACAGTAAAGAGCGAAATGACAGTACTAGAAGGAGGAAAGGATCGACTGGAGATGAAGGCGCAAGGAAGTGAATGGATCATGCAACGGCTAAGATTGTTACAGCCTGAACCATGGTCAGAAAGATGGAAAGGGAGGCCAGTGTAAAGTCCTCCCCTTTACTGCGTCAAAGAGACGCTGTCATTGTCTTGATGATATGAGCGAGTGCCTAAGGCAACATGGCAGGCAGACCCAGGAGCCAAAAACAGTGCACCAGGCCACTGATCCGAGAATATCTCAGCAAGTCACTCGAGGTACAATTCCGGGCGCCGGCCTCTGCGGCAGTGGGTGCCTGGCATGATCCCGGAGTTCGCATCTACTAAGGCGATGCACTTGATTAATAGCCGCGACCATCCGCCTCCCTGTTTGTACTGTCGTGCAACAGTAAGCATATGAGCGAGAGGAAATTGGTGTGACTTGCGTCTAATCTGAGTGCGATTAAGCGCTCGCGATGCTCGATGGACGCTGGGTGGGTGGCGCGGCTGATGTGGGGGCCGGGGTGGGCGCATTAGGACGTAGCGACATATTGCCGCACGCGTTGCGATGGCGCATTAACTAGCGTGAGTGGCAAGGGTGGCATCAAGGCGAAAAGCTGTGGTGTTTTCAGGACAGACGTGAGACAACGAGAGTCGTAGATGGCCGACTGTCACGTGTGTCGTCATGCCTGGGCGAGTGTCGGATGGAGTTGATTGCAGGCCGCCGAGCCCTTGGCAACATCTGCAGGATTTGTTATGATATTATTGTCGCCGTATCGTAGCCTGAGTTTTTGAACATATAGAAGCGAGGGCTATTCATGTGCGGCTTGCGGTGTCGTGGCGCGAGGTGAAGTCGCCATGCAGCGGGCGTATGGCTATCTGGGTAGCGCGTCTCGTATCTGTTCTTAGCCCTGACTGCAGACGTCCCCCGGCCCTGGCAAGTTCAGTGTGGCTGATGACCGAGTGAGTGGATGAACGCTTGAGCATCTACCGGTTCACGCACCTTTGTTTGGAGCGGCCAAGATCATACTCATTGGGGCTCTTGACTTGGTTGCAGCGCTGCTTCCAATGGCAAGTCTGAAGCCGTCAGCGTAAGGGCAAGCCGATGAGCCCGAGAAAATGGGCATGCGCATCCGCTGAGACGCATTGAGATGGAAAGAAGGAGAAGGATAATGGCGCAGGGAGGGGAGGAGGGAGAGAGGAGAGGGAAGGGAGGGTCGTGGATGTGGTTGAGAGTTTCCCAGAGCAGAGGCGAGAGGTGGAAGGACCCGACCTGGACGAGTTCCCCACGGCCCTGATAAATACGCCCATACTCGGGCTGACCAACAAACTCTCCATCATCTCGCCGGTGCCCAGCCAAGTACAAAGGTACGTGTACCAAGACCTGTGACAGTGTGGACAGCATTCTAACACGCTGGGCTTCCCAGCACAGCTCGAGTCTAGGCTATCCCAAAGCAGCAATCGGCCCGCTCTCCACGCTCGGCATTAGCGTCTTGATTACGTACACGCCGCCAGGATGATTGCTGCCCTCCTGGCCATCATCGCCTTCTGGCTCTGCACCGCCACGGCACGCAGCCCCCCGTCCAACTCCTCCGCGGCGCGATGCTCCAAAGACCGATTCCGCCTCCCCCACATCAAGGGACTGGCCCTGCTGTCGATCGAAGCACAGTTGGAGAGTCTATTCCCGCCGGTAACAGACCAGTCGATCCGAGTCGGCTGTTTCTGCATGGTTAGTATCAACGTCACGCATTACGATGTCGATGACAATGTCTTCATGAAGATTGGGCTTCCAATGTCTTGGGAATGGCATGGCCGCTTCCAAGCCCAAGGTGGTGGCAACCTCGCCACAGGCAATTTCGACCACGGCACGGCTCTGTTCGCTGGCTGGGCCGTTGGCTCCACCGACGGTGGTCATCAATCAGCCGACTGGCATGACGCATCCTGGACACTGCACGAAGACGGTACCATCAACTGGAACCTGCTCGAGAATTTTGCCTATCGTAGTGTCGCCGAGCTGATTGTCATTGGCAAAGCTATTGTGGAGCAATACTACGGCAAGAAACCACACCACACATACTGGAGTGGCTGCTCAACTGGTGGCCGGCAAGGCTATACAATTGCGCAGCGCTCTCCTGGCCTGGTAGATGGCATCCTTGCCACTGCCCCCGCCATTGGCTTTGTGCGTCTTTTAACGGCCGGTTTCTGGCCTCAGCTTTTAATGAGGACGAGGAACATCTTCATGTCAAATTGTGAGCTGGAGTTTGTGAGACAAAAGGCCATTGAGCATTGCGACGTGTTGGACAAGGTGTGCGACGGCATCCTCGAAGACCCCGAGCAGTGCGACTTTGACCCTTGGACCCTGGTCGGCGAAGTAATCAGTTGCCCATCCGACACGCCCGTCTACTTCACACAAGACATGGCCCAGCTCGTTGCTGATTTCCGCCAAGGACCAAAGTTACGACTGGGTTCGAATGTACCATCAGGCCTTGCTTATGGTATCCCGTGGACCACCTTGGCTAATATAAGCACGACTGATGGTGTCCGCTCCATTGCGCCCCATCTGGCTAGTGCTAGCTGGCTCCAAAATGTCATGCTTCGAAACCCTAATTACACCTTGACCAACTTGGATGAAACCACATGGTCGACACTCTTTTCTCAGTCCATGTACGAATTCGGCAGTCTTTTGAACGCGGACAATCCAGATCTATCGACGCTTCGCGACTCAGGCACCAAGCTCATGACCTGGCATGGTCTCGACGACGAAATGATCCCCGTTCAAAATACAATCGACTACCGAAAGCGCGTAGAGAGCATCATGGGCGGGCCACGTGAGGTTGACAAGTATTATCGCCTGTTCCTTGCCCCGGGCGTCGAGCATTGCGTGCCGGACGGGAAAGGCCCCTATCCCAAGGATGCGCTCAAGGCCCTAGTGGATTGGGTTGAACGGGACATTCCGCCCAAGATACTAGCAGCGGAGCGGCCATGCGACTATTCCAACCCAAAGCAGAACCACACGATAATCTGTCGGGACCCGCTACAGACGAGGGACCTCTGTCTCTGGCCTGCAAAGCAAGTGTACGTTGGTGGAAACCCCCAGCATGCTTTGAGCTGGGCCTGCGCCGACAGTACACCTACAAACAAGACTTTTGAGACGATCAAACACGCACAACCCGACTCCGCGCGACTAGCTGTGGCTGAGCTGATGGCGGGCAACACCATGACCCTGTGAAATGAATGGTGCCCATTGCCGCCCACGCCTGATGACGCTGATCAGCGCCCCCTTTAACGTATCTTAGACGCCTATCACATGTTAATTTCGGTATCTTTATTGATCGACACTGGTAGAATTTCTTTTTTTGCTTGTTTCGAGGCCAAGCAAAGCTAAGCTCATGGCAGACGACAATTGCATAGCGTTGGTAGCAGTAATGTAACATTGTACACTGCACGTTGTGCCTTTTTCTCACCCGTATGGTTGCCAAATAGTGGGCTGTGCTGGCATTGTGGGTTCTTGTCGGGCCGACGGCATCAGTAGGGTGTGTACAAGATAGATGCCTGCGACGACTCGGATGGATGTCAAGTAACGTGCTAAGCAAGGCTGACGGCGAACGCCACCCAGTGGATGCAGAGGCGCAGGCAGGATGCGACGCGAACAACTGGCCCGTATCGCTCTGGTTTCTCAACGGTTGGCCGATCTCGTGTTAGTTATGCCATAGCCCAATAGAGGCTGCGCTAATGCTTCAAGCGCGTTTCGAGGACTCGGTCCCGACGGAGGCTCCCGCCCACTTGGCCTTATCGAGCACCTCAGAACCAGTCGTGCCCAATTTGGGACGCGCATGCGCTCGTCAAATGCTGAAACGCAGTGAGACTCATCGATCCCTTCGGTGCTATACGTTGGGCGGCTTGGGCTGGATCCGGGACCACGCCCCTCGCCATGGGCGTCCACACAAGGCGAAGAAGAAACGAAACATGATGCTTGTCCGAAGCTTGCCATCCGTTTTGCGCCTCTCTGGTTCGTCAGGAGTATGACGAAGCTTCTGGGTCCGACACGTGTAGTCATGTCAATCAGCGTCAAAGCCCTGGAAAAACAACACAACGGCAGCGTTGGGTTGCTGCTGCCGTACTACCCATGTTTCGCCTTAAAGCCATCGTCCTCGACATTCCCGGAATAGGCCATAAACTCTCTCGCCTTATACCCCGGCCCAGTCACTCACTCCCTTGGCCCATTTCCTTCCCTTTTCACCTTGTGTCTTTTGTTTCTCTCTGTCTTCTAATACATATATCTAATATCAACAGCTGACGGTCATGAACGCCTCAGCAACAGTACGAGCGTCGTTTATCCGCCAGGCGCGGATGAGCATAATAGCTCCCAGCCCTATACCCCTACACCCCCGTCCAGCTCAGGATGAAAAACTCGAGGCGTTTGTCCAGGTCGACTACATTGAGCACCGGAGGAGATGTGACGAGGAGCGAGCCGCCGACACCGTCGTCTTTGATGTAGAGAAGAACGCGGAAATCAAGCAGATACACATCGAGAACACATCCGAGCCACCGTCAGTCATGGATTGGGAGGAGGAGGGCACTGTCGGAACCCGGATAAAGAAGATGGTCACCATCTTCCCCTACCGCGATCCCATCTACCTCGTTGCCATTATATTCCTGCTTGGCTCCGTCGTTCTCACCGTGAACGCCTTCCTCGACCTTATCCCCCGCGCCGCAAGGACCGTCATATCAGAGAGGGAGGAAGCCATCGTGGTGCCCGCGACCATCCTCGCAGGTTCCATTCTCTTCTTCATCGCAGGAGTCTTCGACACATTTGGCGCACTAAACGCCGACCGCGGCACAATTGGCACCACGAAACTCAAACCGGACAAGGTCGTGTACCGACCGGCCCTGCTTGGAACCCCGGAATTCAAATGGATCCCCTCGTGGACTAAACTCTGGGAACTGACCATGACGGATCTTGCCTTCCAAGCCGGTCTCATCGTCCTCTTTGGAGGTATCATCTTCATGTTTGGCAGCATCCTTGACTTCCCTGGTGTCGTGCCCGAGGAAAGCCCGCTGTATGCATCCATTGTGTTTGGGCCGCAGGTCATCCATGGCCTGCTCTTCTTCATCGCAAACGCCATGCTGGCGTACTCGATGCAGGACTGCTGGTACAAGCCAAAGTACCTGGACGCGGATTGGCAGAGCTCCGTTCTCAACACGATTGGTGGGTTTTCCTTTATGCTGGCGGGACTGTTCTTGTTTCAGAGGGACGACACAATTGATGGTGGGGAACTCAAGTCCGCCAGCGCTGCCTTGGTTGGCAGTTGGGCCTTTTTGATTGGCAGCATCATTCGCTGGTATGTTGTGCTTGAGGTCTGGTAGTTTGCCTTTTGTTACGCGATACCCTATACGATGGATTTTCTGGGTCTCGAGCTTCGTTTTTTTTTCAATCTTTCTTCCTGCTTCGCTCTGTTTCTGGCGCTTGCTTGCTCAGTCGCTGAAGCCCCCCTCTCTCTTCTTTCTCTTATGTTGCTGCTGTTGTTTTGATACATCGGCGTTTCTTTTTGCGCCATCCACTTTTTCCTTTTGTCACACGCGCGCACTATCTGGAGTTCCGGTGATATAGAGACCGCATCATGCTGTTTCTCGTCATCACTACCGCTGTTTCTTTCGTTTTTATTTCTCTCTTCATTCTCTATCTTTCAAGCGTTTTGCATCCAAAGGTTGGAACTAGGGCTTGTTTTATCATGGTTGTAACGTATACCCCCGCACCCCCGCACACACAACACGCGGGATGTAGCTGGTGTTATTCACTCTTTTTTATTTCATCACAAGAGCCTTCTCCGTCTCTCCTAATGTACTAACTCTCATCTTCCGCAATGTATAATGTCTAGTAGAAAAATTCCAAAAAAAAGAGATTTGTATCTCCAGATGAGAGGAGCTGTAGGACTAGGCGTTGTAGTGCTCACGGAAAAGTTCAAAAAGCGCGTCTGGTATGGGAGAGGGGGATTTCTTTTTATGAGAATGTTTCAAGTCGCCGGGCCGAAAGTGCGTCATCACCATGTGGGTAGATTGAGGCTTTTACGTATTCCAGTTTGTGATACATGTGAGATACCACCGAGGAGTTCAGAGTAGCTAGCAGCTAGACATGTATACCCTGGATGCTTCATGGGATTGGAGTCAAATTAATACATTTTTGCACTATTGGATTTCGGATAGGACTGCTCAGAGTGTTGTGAGTGATGCGAATGCTAGAGGAGCGGATTTTACAATGCAGTCGGGTACACTGTGTATGAACACCATAAAGTACATACAATGATCTTTTTTTGCGAATCGTATTTGTGTATCACTGTGAAAGAAAATATCGACAGAGTTCAAGTGCATACTATATTCAACAATTGTATATAGAAGTTGTCGAAATTGTTCCTAGATCCCGCAGAGGAGAAGTCTAGGGAGATGCGAGTATTTCCTGGAGCAAATGTAGAGCCCAGAAAAGATCATATGGAGTGGTGTACATTTCTTTATCTATGCATATGAGAGCGCCCATTGTTAACCCGAGCTCATTGTCCCTACAAAGGAAATCAAGAGCTATTGTATCTTGGGTGTCTTGAATTTGATACCGGATTGTCAAAATATGGGCAGTCGGGATGCATTTGGATCTTCTGTTTGGTGAATGTTAGTCTGGCGCCAATCACGCAACCCGCGACCATCTATCTCCCTTCACCGTTGCACGCCCGCATAGTAACGCAATATTGACTCCCTATCCCCATGCAGAAGGCCGATCTACTCGCTTTCACTGCGAAGGCTTGACCTTCACGCGAGGTCCTAGCGCACCCCCTCCTGCATAGATAACGCGACCACGGGCTCTTCCTCTGCTGCTCTCCCTCCCAACCGCCCACACAACCAACTATATTCTCTCTTCAATCATACCACTCATTATTCTATTTCCAAAACCACAACTATATACAACATCCTGTCAAGATGTTGGCAATTCAGATTCTAACCTACGTCGCGCTTTATTATTATTATTATTATTCCATTAGAGTCTATCTGCAGTCAGTGACTATGTAAGACTTTGGCCAGAGGCCGTTCTAGGTACAATTTGTTTAAAGTGAGAGTGTTCTCTGTATAGTACTGCTATTGTGCTGCGGTTTAGTCGCTTCTAGCTGCGCTTAAAGCGGACTCCAGTTGCTAAAGAGCAGTTTAGTAAACAGGAAGAGATGTTAGACAGCAGGGCTGTCTTCCAGCGAGCTCTTTTAGGGCTAAGGAAAGTAACTTAAGAAAGTTTGTTAGTTATTATTGGTTTTAGGTAGTGTCTCTCTGTTCTCGCTTATTTTTAGTTATCTTGTTCTTGGCCTAGATGCCAGCCTCTAGTCCCTACTCTAGTTTTAGCAATGAAAGCTAAAGTCGCCTCTCTGCCTTTGCTAGTGTGGAGGAGTAGTTGGATTGTTAGGTAGTTCTCGCGAAGAGTTGCTTTTAGCGCTTGCCTTTCTGTGTTGTAGTGCCAGCAGTATAGGAGAAGGTGATCTGGTGTCTGTACTCTCCCACAATCGCAGAGGTTTGAGTTTCTCTTTTTCACTCTCTCTAGGTAGGCGTTAAAGTATCCGTGGCCTAGCTTGAGAGAGAAGAAGGCGTCAGAGATTTCCCTTGGTGTACCTCTTGGGATTTGGATTGCCTTAGGGTAAGCAAGGGGAAATCT